AGTTCGACGCGATTTTCGTATTATCATAGTTTGATCCGCATAAAATATACTCTGTAATGGGGGGGGTCAATTTGCTAATGTCTTATATACATGGGCAGCAGATACATTGAGGGTATCAAAATCCTTCTTAGGCAAAATGCGCGTTCTTGTTATCAATATATAGCATTATACTTAGATCCAGGCACCATGCGCCCACAAAATGCTCATTTACCACGCGACCTTATTAACTAGAAGTGGACTTCGAAGTTGAAGCAGGTTGATCGAACTCATATATCAGGGCAATGTATTATTTTTCAGTGAAGCAAAGATCTTACGAAAATGGCAAATCGATAGTTGCAAGCATATTGGCCATTGAAATCACAACGCAAGACAAACCGAGCTATTCCGCCGATATAAAATTAGAGCGGTTATTTGAAAAGCCAGCATCGCCTACTCAATTGACTCTAATTTCTCTAATCATTTCTATTGATTGTTTATGGCCTTTGAAACGCCTACCTCGATGTCATCTGCAAGCACATGTTCTGCTGTGACGCAAGCCGAAGAGTCTGAGTTTGAAGCAAAAGCAGGACGCGCCTTTATCTGGAGCTGGGAGTGCATAGAAATATCAAATAGACAGATCTCATGTTATTTTGTCCGCATATGTCTAGATCCGTGTTAAGTTCTTCACGGCTTCTCTCAAGCACGTATTCACGAACGGAAATCTAATAATTATCGTCCAACCTCATAAAAATCAAGTTTAGCGACAAATAATAAGGATTGGTTAGAGAGACGCTGCGCTTCATTAAAACGATAATTTTAGAAGACAGGCTTATTAGGAATTAAAAAAAGGGGTAACCTCGTATTAAATGGAAAGCTTTAAAATAGCATTACTTGCTTCTAGCCCTATGTTTAGCGTAATACCACATTTTACGAGGGAAAACATAGAAAGGGCAAAGAAAAATCAGAAAGAATACGACGCCATTGTTCGCTCAATTGAACCTCATTGTAATGGCATTTGAGCCGCTTAACAAATGTTCGCAATAGTATTCTCTGTTTTAATCGCCCGGCAGAGTAAAGGGTCTCTAGCAGGCTCTCTTATGGAGCAAACTTACGACGACAGCGCTGTTGCGTCATAAGTCTTGTTAGTTCGGTTAAATAAGGCGACCGCCTGTGCTATCGTTTCTAGTTCGGGAAATTCAAGATTTGCACCGGGCTTTCCGATACACAAAACTATCTGCCATGTTCTGTAAAGTGGTGTGTTCGACCTCAATACAGATGAATTAGTGATTTGAAATAAATAACAAAATTCTCTGTTGCAAGTTCAGAGAGCTTTCCAGAAAGTATGCGTGTAGCATGTCGACCGCTTTGCACAAACTAGGTATAGCTTTACTAAGCAGAACACCTGTTTCCAACCACAATGACGGAAAATGTGTTGCATTCATTTTTATATTGTGTTGAATTTATCAAAGTCATGCTGCTAATAGACCTGAGTATAACTTTCCCTTCCTTTTTAGTGACATGTCTAACGGTAATGTACCTTTATTGTGTGCCTTGCAAGAAAGTCAAATATGCTTTCATCAACTAGAGCTTATATAAAATTCACTAGATATTTATTTGGTAACTTAATATTTAGTTTATTGCAGTCATGGCACATTAACTAGCAGCACGAAATTTTACAATACGCTATTCTTGGACTTGAAGATGGAAAATTCACGGTTTCCTTATTTTCCAAGAACGTTTCCTGTAGTTTTCTACTGTATCGAAATGCAAGGAGTCGTGAGAAAATGCTTTAAGAAAATTAAGAGTTACAGGTAAACGTTATTTCTAATCTAACTTAGAAAATCTGCTTTATATATATATCTACGAACTTATCATTGAGAAATTCTGAAGTAGGCAAAAATAGAGTCTCCTACTAGTTGAAAATACCCAGGTCAGTATGTCGACCACTGCACAGTGCAACGCTACGAGACTACATTCACCCCTATGCCGAAACTAGCTCAATGTTGCATTTGTTAATATTTTATACTGGTCTTTACTTCGGCGATACGTCATGGAACACCAGTGAGCACACGATAATTCGCCGAAGCTTTACTAAATTTTAATCATGACCTGAATAAGCAGTCCCTTTCGCTCTTACGGGGTTATTTCTGTAGATAATGTATCCTACATGTGCGGTCCGATGTCCGAGTGTCTTTACCACGAATCTTAAAGGGATCAGCACAACAGGCTTGCAAAGTTCGCGTGTTTAGGCTCACGTTGTAAAAACAAAATTAACCACGTCCAACTCGTATTATCGAACCATCGTGCTTCTGTCACGAAAGGCACAGTTTCGTTAGTAGCGTGTACGACGTAATTTATCCGCACGTGGTTATCTTAAGCTGTGGTGCTTGTCTTCCTGCTTTCTGCCTCACCAATTATCGCCGTATTACTTGCAGGGAGGCCTATTCCACATACAATATCCGCCATCAAAGCGCCATCGTGATTGCTATAAACGCACGTGAAAGTTTCCAAACCTTTTGCTGTTTATCCATGACATATCCAGATAGCAGCGTCTGTCCAACAGGCAAACTCGGCCTTTCTTCCAATCTCCCAAAAGAGTTCGCCTAAACTCAAAACTATACTATTTCTCACAGGTTGAGGATGTTTCCGCGGATCGAATCAGAAAGGTGCGCAGAGAGGCTAAGACAGAGTAAACATACGCATAATGCCATAATAATTACAAATATTTTGCACTTATTCATACTTGTGTTTATGTGTATATATGGTTAAAAAAGGACAAGGAGAGAAAGCCTGTCTTAGAAAGTATTTTTTGTAAATGGAATCACATTTCCAACAACGTGTAAGCTCCTCGTGCCAGACAGACTTTGCTGGCAAAAAAAATCGCAGCAGTCGACGCCAGCAGCTAACTAGGTCCACCCCAGCACCACTGCACGGTCCATTTGTAGAGTTTGATAGCTTGCGACGAATGACCACCATTTGTGAGACTTGCTTTCCACCCTAGGGGGTTCTTACCCGATAGATTATTCAGGTATATAGATAGATAGAATAAATATGTCCTATTTGAAGATGACGTCCCAAATATAAAAGCGACAGCAGCTGTGCACAAGCCGCTGGATAATTTTCCTGCGACACGAGTCCGATTCTAATTTCCTGCTGTAAAAGTCTTAAGATCCTCTATAAAGTCTATGATACTCCTGTGCATGTGAACTGCTGTCGCTTTTTAGCAATGAGCCAACTGTTAAAGATTTTACAGACTATAAAATTAGTTATTGAAACATAATAATGTTATTGAAATGTTAATTAGTTGATTTCAATGGGATGCTTGGACGTATTTCAGAGCCGTTCTGGTATTTTGATGTTAAAACTATGAAGTTCGCTCCACCTTCCCTGTGTGAAACGTTTTGTCGAGTTTGAGAACGCACGGCCAAGTCGTATCTAGCCAGAAAGACAACGAAAGCGGAAACGCCCCTATGTATCGACTGCCGTCGCTTTAGAGAGATCTCGTTGACAAGGTCTGGGATAAAAAGATCAGTAAAAGTTTCGATATCGTGTGATAAGGCCCTTTGCATGAGAAACTTATTCCATTATGTTCGCTCAGTGTGTCAATCACAACACTTATTATGTTCCCTTCCTGAGTTAAGATGACAACGATCAATGAATGGCTCTATTTTGATAATTTTTTGTGGCATTGTGCTTTAAATAATGCATATATATAGCTTTGTCAACAAATATGCCATCAGTATATCTATACTATATATGAATACGTATGCTGTGCTTGCCTAGAAGTGATATACTAGCTCTTTATGATGTATAGGTGAGCGTCTTGTTTGGTTGCCCGTACCGAAAGCGCGACCGTAATAGAATGCGCACTCGATCCAAACATATCCAGGGTCCTATCCGATTCAGGGCGACAATAAAACATATAGTTGGAAGCACACTGGCCGGTACAGATATGATTTTTTATTGGCGTGCCTCATAAGCCCTTTTTATCGAAATCGCGCCTTATTGCTATATTTACGTGAAGTAAAACTACTTCCTAGATTAAATAGGACCAAGTTAATTTTATAGCCAGCAATCGTTTTCTGCTTTTTCAGAACCCCAGTAGACACTGGCATAATATAGGCTCATACTAAGCACTGCTCCTTTGATCATACGGTAGGTTTCTAGTTAAAAAGTGCAATATGTCGTACGCTTTCCAGTATACTATACAGCAGTTGTTGCTGTTGTTAAATGTTCTCTTCGAACAATAGTGACAACGACAAAGAAATTTGCAGACCTTTGAGTAATATCTTTCGAGTTGATAGCTGGTGCTATGAGCTTAATACCGATAAGAAATACAAACAGTTCAATATGTCGCTGGTTGTAGTTAGCACCGAATCAAATAGACAGTCAACTATTACTTCAACATGATCACCAGTGCGAACCTGCAACCGAGGCAAGGACCTTGAGTGAATTGCTTCTATTGAGTACAGTCGGATTGTCTCAACTGCATGGCATGTACGAAAGAGTTCTCCAAAAGTCCATCTTCGCGAGAGGAACCGTCAGACGATCTATTTATTCGGTATTTGCGTTGTTCTTTCTGCTACAATTTTCGAAAATTTACCACTTTTATATATGTTTACATACATTGTATATTTATGCACGTCCGTAAGATAAGGTGCGCGGATTTCCGTTTGTATGCTATCTCGACCAGCGCTGCGGCAATTTCACAACAGCTTCAGAAGATTAGCGGGCAGGCAATTTCTAGTCGATCCGCGCGCGACGCCGCTGCCCCGCCAGCGTGAAGGATCGCGTCCCAGTTATGGGTTGAGGGGCTGTTTCTTGTCCCTGAGCAATATCATCGCCCGACTCCTGCGGAGGTGGTACTGCCCCTCCTGACGGCAACGTAGTCCTCCTGCGCGGCGGCTGCCTTCGACCACTACTTGGTGGGGATGCCACGTTCTCGGTGCTTCCATTTACCAGTTCACGGACGAACTTGAATCGGGAAAGGAACACCTTCCACACTAACAACCAGCCTGAAATTTGTCAAAAACTCGTATATAGGTAACAAAGGACCTATGGTAATAAAATCTAAACTGTCGAGAAGGTCAAAAGCTATCCTTCACGATTACACGAACCGTAGCTGCAAATTTGATGATTCAGTGTTTTTGCGTTGGCGAAAAAATAAGACCTACGTGAAGATATACACAATTAATAATTGCTGAATTGGTACTTTTTTAATTCAATTACTACGCCTCCGCGGTTGAACAAGTTGCTTTTCTCATTGGTAATATATGTCAGTTCTGATAAACATGAATTTATACACGAAATTTATAAACTTTAAGCCCTAAAAACAGGCGGGTTAAATGCAGGTCTAGCCGTATACCTGTCTACCTGCGTAGCTCTCAAGGATTCATCTTAAATGTGAAAAGTGAACAGCAGGGAAGGATAGTTCGTACCTAAACGCACATATTACAAACATTCACATATAAAAACATCACGAAAACGATCTTATATCGATTTACATATACTGACTTGCATAAAGTTTATTAACCACTACAAATTTACGTTTTATAATAGAGGCAAGTCTTCTTCAAAACAGAGAAATACAAAAGCAAAGCTATTAGGAGCAAGAGAAGAAAGCTAAATTACTACGACGATAAATGAAACTGTTATTTCTGGTTGTGGACAACGTATTGACAGTGGTCTCCGAAGCTAATTGTTGGCAGCTTCATTAGGGTAGCACTCCGGTAACACTTGTTTCGGCGTTAGTAAATGACCTAAGAGGAGCGCAGCAACAGCCAGCGTCAAAATATTCATTGAGCCTAGGAACCTAATTCCCAATTCCGACGTGTTTGCTTGCCTCTGGCCGCCGCCAAGCTGTTCTTGTTGTTTACGCTGAGCCCAGAGTTCCACTCTAGACCATCCCCGAATAAAAGGACCCGCATCGGCTTTTCTCAGAGTAGCTGTAGACCCTCGCGACTTCCTAGCATGGGTTATCTTGCTACATTGAAGTAGAGTAGTTCTTATACGGAGTTCTTCTCAAGCAGCATCATTCACTATACTTTCAGCCCGACAGACACAAAAAAATAACTCACGATTACTTTGCCATATAGTAGAAAGGAGTCTACCTCATCCATTAAAGGCCCCGTAGACAACAATTTAGACACACAAATACGAATCGAACTGGCTGCTGCTGGTAGAATAATGTCGCAGTCTGTCGTCTGTTCTTCGTTGCCGGTTAGCTGTCATTGTCGGATTTGTGTCAGCGGTCCGTTCGTGTATTAAAAGCTAGCAAAGCACCAAGCATACATTTTGACTTGGTGCAATATTAAAGTGCAAATGTTTGTTTTGATTAAAGGCAAAAAAAAACAGCTATGCAACTGCTTTTCTCTGCTCTCAGCGAGTACGGCTAGACCCAGGAAGTTGGAGCTCTTTCATTCTGAAGAGACATCTAGTTTCTATTCACATGCGCTATTTAGCGTTCTGTTGAGCGTTACGATAGAAAAACTGAATATAGTATTTTCTATTTGAGATCTCGCTTGGTTCGTTAATTCTTTTCGTTCAGGTTATAAACTATCGCTGTTTCAGTTCATACAGCGGTTCTTTCAGCAATTCGTTGAACGGCCTAATAAAGCATTTCTCGGGCCGCTGCCGTACATCGATACTGAAAGTGGCATTCGGTGCTCCCTTTTCTCATGTTTTCGTTCGTCGTTGCAATATCATGGCCTCCTTTTTTGCACGCAGCTACAGTATTGACCGACCCACTTTCCTATACGTCACACGATGGTTTAGGTCACTATTTAACGGAGAATCGAAGTCAACAGAAATGCCAACGTTAATTCCACCTGTTCTAGGCTCGTTTTCTATGTAAGCCATGTCCACTGACGGCAAGTCTAGGCACCAGCTTTGTTGCAAATCGAATTGCGACATGCAACGCCACTTATGTTTGATGCTGATTCTCCACATCGGTTATATGCGTTGAACAGGTTAAAACGGAGGTGGAACGGCTTATTTTAACGAAAACGAAATGCTTGGCCGAGCAAGAACCCCGGCGACCAGTAGTTACAGTCGCCTCATAGATACATTGGTAGTCCCTCGAATAAAGAATTTGGTTACCCTGGCCTTCAGTCTCAGGACTTTTGACCTTTCACGTAAACCAAGACAAGAAAATTACCGCCATCCTTGGTGCCGTCAAACCTCCTGTGAATGGGGCCATACACTCATTATGGAAGATCGAAGATAAGGTGAGCTGCAAGCATGCAGGACATTAACAGGACTAATCCCCAACTGCTCTTGGCGGTTCCTTAGGGTCCTGTTCATGGATGACATAGGGTGCATTTCAACATGAATGCTAAGGAAAAGCTAAGATCGAAACCGATCTAGGCTGAGCCTATGACTACTGTGATAATCTCAGCTTCTTTTTTTCTGTCCAAACAGGTAGACCTCTGTAGCATCGATCGTACGGCGGTAATTCAACGTAATTCTATTATTCGGAGGAACGAACTATGAATAATTTTGCATTTGAAAGACGAAAGTAGGAACGACATGACTCCTCGACATTGGCAAAGCTTTTGATTGACACCATGTGTAAAGATAACACTGCTCTCAATCTAACATAGGACAGATATATATTCTTTTGACGTACATAGCCAGAATGCTCATAGTTGAATTACTGAATCATTGTCTAGACTGAGGTTGAACATCTGCTATTAATGACTGAGACGTGGAAGTTTGCTTTATACGCACCTCCGTAAACGAGCCTTTTTATAACAATACGAACTAGCAGTTGCTGTTCATCCAATTACTGTTAAAATGTCAATGATAATTAAACTTTCTTCATTTAAGCATAAATGGTGGTTATCGTTAAAAAGAAGATGTTATTTATTTTTTGTAAATTGAATTGTTCTAGTATGATATATGACACGTTGGTTCGACTTTGTCTCGGGGCGAAGAATTACTGCAGAGATTATCACCATAACCCTTGTAAATCTTACTTTATTGCTTAAAAAAACGGAGTAGATAAGAATTATTATTCTTTTCTCCTTACCTTAAGAATGCAGTACTGTCAAATGTACTGCTTTGCATCTGCAATTTGTTTCATCATTAAGTGCAGCCTTTAGGCCTACGTCTTCAGTTCAGTTTTGCGTTGCAAATACGTCTCTTGTCACTTACATGAATTTTGCAGATTTCAGGTTGTTTATTCTGAGAAAGGTGTTCTTGTTTCAATTTAAGTTTCTTTGCAAACTAGTAAATAGTGCACCAGGCGGCACTCAAAAACAGTCTCTTCTCAGAAAGCCTTTCTAGTCATCAGAAGGAACAGTATCACCTCTTTAGATTTCAGGTGATAAGAATGTTCATGTAAAGGGAAATATGTTCCAGCCAAAAACTAGGGCAGAACCATCCAAAATGGCAGAGTAACAGCGTCGCGCGCGTCGACTAGAAGCTTCATACTCGCAAGTATTCGAAACAAAGCTGAACTCTGAGCGGCACTGCTTTGATCACAGGCGAACCTAGATTTGTGCACTTCATTACACAAGTGTACATGTATATGTAGCTGTGCAGTGAAATGATTCTTACCAATTACATGTGTGAATATGTCACGTGTTATCATGTAAATGAACTAACTGACCTTGTCGCCCATACAGATGGTTTTCTAAATTACCTTATATAGACTTCTCATTTGAGACGATGAGTATAATGATGTCAAATTGATATGAGAAGCGAAACATTAAATATACATGTATTAAAAGGTCCTTTTTTGCGAGGAGCACAACTAGTCGATATATTCATTCGGTGCTCACGTTTATTGCTTTATAGTTTATTTTTTGTTCTTCTTTAGCGCAATTTTTAGCCACTAACTTCACTACACCTTTTGGTAGGTCTACCTACTATGTATGTACACCGGTACGACGAGATGTGCGGATCTGAGTTCGTTGGGCATCACGACTAGCGCCGCCGGGAATTCAATACAACTTTAGAAAGTTGCGGATAGGTACTTTTTTGTCTACTCTACCTTGTCCAGACATTGCTTTATCAGCCTAGAAAGTCCTGTCATTACTGCTGCTATTGGTTGCAAAGTTATTTTTCTTCTTGGGCAGTGTCATTACCTGTTGCCTCAAGAGGCGATGCCGCCCCTGCTGACGACAGTGAAGGCTTTTTGCGCCGACGCTACTTTTAACCTCCATTTATTAGCGCCAACACGCTCTCGCTTCTTTCATTTATAAGTTCGCGGGAAAATATGAACCATAAAAGCATCGACAACTAGCCTGAATTACACAAAAGCACATGAATATTGGTCAAGAGATATCGAATACAAAAACCAAATTGGAGTTGAGAAACTTCAAAGTTGTACTTAAACTGTGATTAAAAAATTGCAGTTGCTCAGTAGCGCCTTTGAGCATTACGCATATACATTGCTGTTAAAAGAATAGAAGAACAGGATAATGATATTATTCTACTCAGGTAACATTTTTATAGGATTTGTATATATCTTGAAAAGATGAATGACCAAATAACGATGACGAATTTTTGTTGACAATAACACAACATCCGATTATACTACTCAACACTGTAGTTAAATAGTATAAAATTATCAATAATTGAAACTAATTGGACCAGTAACAATAACGTTCCTGCATAAAACTTTCTTCAAGCTGTCCTGTAATAAAGTTCTATCCTTAGCCATTCCAGTAAAATTCTTAAGGCGAACTCAGAAAATCATATAGTAAGATAACTATGGTTATATTTATTAATATACATCAATGGCCCGAATGCTACTGTAAGTTACATGAAAGGAAGTATCATATCGACCAATTGTCTGTAACTCTACAAATGCATGATTTTTATTTTCTCTTTTTCTTTATACACAAATATACACGACACACATACACACACACACACACATTATATATATATATATGTCCAAACAAAAATGTCCAAACGCAAGAATGTGCGCGATTCAGCAGTTTGACATTGTTTATTTCCCCTGGTCTCATATAAGAGTTCTCAGTATGAAATCTCACACTAATTTTGAACGTCGCCCTAAAAGGTGCTATCATACGCAAAATGTGGTGGAGAGAGAAAATTGTATAGTTGTGACATATCGCCCTTTGATGCTTTCATAGCAGCAGGGCCTTCCTTCCGAACGACGTATAATCTTTTAATTCATTTCTCATCTAGTAGTAATGTTCCATATCCGGCGTCATCCCGGATGTCAGCCAGCGTTATCGTTAAACAATCTCTGCGACAAAAGATAGACTCGACCATAGCGACATATATTTGAAAGACAACACGTCAAGGAATATATGGTTTGTCTTTTCCTACACGCACATCCATATGGCCCCGACATGCTCTGGAATAAGTTTCGTTTTATTTCACAAACCGAGAACTGTGCTTCTTTCATTGACGCGTTGTCTTGCAGATCAGACAGAACAGGGTGCAGCTTTCCCGCATGGCAGTCGCACATCTTCTACAGACTCAATAGGGCCAGGGTCTGTAGGAGATGCTTAATGTCCGAGTGCCGCGTTCGTGGCAGTAGTTTCACTGTTGTTCATATTGCATCATTACTAGAACTGCGAGCCATCTCCTCGTAGGAAAAAACGAGTCACTTCCACTATTCAATGAGATCTTGTTAAAATCCTGTCTTGTGTCTACTGTTTGCTTAGTGAGTATGTGTAGCAGCATAAAGCAGTGAGTTATTACGATAATAGCATGAGATGATTTAATAGAACATAGGACTGGAAAACTGGTTTAGAAAAGATTAATTGGAAATATAAGTCTTGGTATTCCTATTTTTACATCTCAACGGAGAGAGTATGATTTATGCTTCTTTCGACTATTTCGCCACTTTAACATTTAAATTAGCTTAAATACAAGCAGGGTTCACTGCTTAATGCCATATTACCTGATCGCTCTACGGCTTCTCGGGACTGCAAATGCGATACTTACAACGCGAAAAATAGTAGCACAAACTGGCTGCTCGAGCTAAACTAAACCCGTGCCACTACACCACTTCGTGCTTAAACATCGTCGTACATTATAACGTAATATATTACTTTAACCTAATAAAATACTACGTTATATGTAGAGAGAGAGGGAGAGAGGTAGCGAGAGAACAGCACTTAGAATACAAATGACAACAAATTATTGAGTTATCTTTGGAGGGTATGGTCTATTCCGAGTAACTTCTACTTCAGTTAGTGATCAAATGAGATGAGGACTTATACACTCAAGAGAAAATAGAAGAGGCGCTGATTATATAACAAATAACTATGCTGACATCCAATAATGAACCCTCATCGTCGAGAAGGCGATACCGCGGTATGCAGTCCAAGCAGCAAAAGCCATTCTTTCGCACCTGTTCTGAGAATCATTGCATCTATTTTTGATGCCTCGACAGATACATAGGTACGAATGCAATACTGTGTATAATCGAACTCCAACTGAGGCTGAAGGTATGTTGAAATCACCTACATTCATATGAAAACATCACAATGATGATGTTCAAGTGGCGATAGGCTTATGGAAAATGATGCATGGATCATCGATTAAATCCGGCTAAGTGCTGTCATGCTGGCAAAGAATGTTAAGCTGTATAAAAGATCCCAATTTCTAAAAAATGCATCCTGCTATATGAAGGTAGGATTCTTGATATACACTCAGGGATGTTGGCTACATCAGTCCAATACTAAGCTAAGTTCACCATATTGCAATAAAAATAAGATACAAATTCGGTACTTTGTGACCCAGGAAAGCGGATCCCTTTAAATAAAGCTGATATCGATTACGCTTTTTATCATTAATATGTAGTAGAAAATATAATAAAATTGTATTTAGTCACCTACACTTGCATGTAACAAAAAATATGTAACGATAGAGAGCTTGATACGCTAATATTATTCCGCCCTGGCGCAAAGAAGTGCCCAGTCAAAACGCCTCAGTGTGCCGAGAGCACGTCTCTAGAAAATAAATATAACATCTTGTCATCTCCCAAATACGACATATAATGCACCGGTTCACGTTAAAACTAGAAATTCAATATGCTGAAATTTCATAGGTAAAGGTTTGATGCAAAAGTAACACGTCTGATATGGTCAGGTTGTACCAAAGGACGCGTCTCTAAATTGAAATTTCCCACACAGCCTAAAGCGTTGTTGTACTGGCAAATTTGTGCATACACGTATAGCAGATCTGATGAGTAGAAGCTCGCAAAGCATAACCTCTAGGTATACCCACTAAAGAGAACAAATTGCTTAACGTAAAATAACGACACCGAAATCGTCCGAAGACCGACCATTACTGCTACACTATTGTGCTGTTAGGTAACTGAAACTGTCGATGCATGAATTATATCTCAAATAAATGGCGGTCGGAACTGATTTGATATTGAACGACAATCTAGAAAGAAAAACAAAGATGTAGGATATACAAAAAAGACGCTTTCGTTAATCCATCAAAATAGGAATAATAATGAAACTACGAATGGTGTGTGGCATATGTTGACATGTTCTGGAGGGCTCTTGGTCGCTAAAGAGAGTTTGCCAAATTGGTTGATCTGAATCTATATCTGCTTATGTCTTTATGAGCTTACCTGCTTAACGATAACTGGAAAGGATTGTAAATATCTACTATCACATTTCACTACGGCTCATACGTAGTGAAGCACAGTAAATAGAATGCTGAAAGCTTTATGGTGAAAAGGGGAATGATGCGACCTTTATATGAATCGGCGCGTATATCTTTGCGGGAATAGGTTGCATAAACATGCAATGCCCAATTCAAAACGGATGGGATAAAAAACATCAATTACTTAGCTATACAACGCCCTTTTACTACATGTTTGTTAATTACTGGGATTCATTAGATACGTGTTGTTACAATTCGTCATTGAATGAACGATGCTCAAACTGGATTTCGCCAGCTGAAAAACGAACGTAAGCAATCTACGTTAAACTTAAATTATGAATATAGGCTTCATAACCAGAATTGCGGTACATTAAGTTATAATATATATAATTATTTAATAACTTCGTAGGTAAGACAAAAGCATTTAGTCAACTATTGTGTGAAGTCACGTACTTACCAATTGCTATAAGGGTTATGAGCAATAGAATGGAGAACACAGCCGAGGCCGTGTAAATTGCGAACGATGTAAATTGTTCGAGCATGTTGGCTTCTTTCGCAAATGCTTCTTTAGGACTCCAAGTGTACTTCAAGCTACTTATATAAGTCGTCGGCACCTGGTTGAATATGCTTATTTTAACATGTTAGTACGGTACGTAATACTACTAGAAGCTGTTTTTGTTAATGGTATAAAAAAAAAATCAGGTTCCATGTACAATAAGCGTTGCGGAAGGAGGAGGTACGCGTTTTTCCTCGTATACTGACCGACAACAATTGCTTCTGACACTGTTAGTTGACCAACAATTCAATCGCACACGATTCTGTTCTAATTTGATTAGGTCATGTGAAGTCCCTGGAACGGCATCCATGAATTTCTAGGTCCTATAGTCCTCGATGCGATAACTCGGTTCCTTCTCAACAATAGCAACACCGCACATTCTACTCAATCACACAAATTCTAATACACGTAACAATAGAGCAGCGTAACTGGGTCTAAACCGATAGCAATTTCTGCATGCGGCGGGTATCATCACACTACGATTGCTGTAGTAAAAGTGAAAAACCAATCATTTTTCTAACGTATTTAATCGTATCTCAAACAGATGTTTAACCGAAACGTCGAAATATAAAACGTAGTTAAAGATTATCTTTTTATTATCATGACTCTATGAACATTTTTTTAACAAAAGCAAGTTACGCCCTTTTATCAAGCGGTTTCCGGATAAGGCCAATTGAAGCATCAATAATAACAGTTTTACTAATCCGTTTGTATACGCTCAACGGGCTTAAACCGTTCAACTGAGTTACATTACTTGATTAGGTTCAACACTCGCCCAAATAAGAATAACAGAAGCGCAAGCGATCTGACACCCCACAGTTTACACGCCACACACAATCACTCTCGATCCATATCTCGACGAAGCATCGGCGATTTGATATACAGTGTATTAATGCTGTCGCCGCTGTGAATTTTTTGCACATTTACAAACACTATCCAGTATCCCCTGTAAGCCAATTTACTACGAGCTGACTCGATCTAATAATAGATTATGTCAGCTGCGCCGCAATGTTGATATGCTTTAAGTAGTAGTAGTAGTAGTAGCAGTAGTAACGGTAAGTTGAAGCAATGCGAAAGCGATCGCAAGGCTTCATCCCCTAACCTAGTACCGATAACTCGGTTTGTTTTGCTCGATGTTCTCAAACCGCGCTGGCTGGTCGCGCAAGGGGAAAGGGAGCAAATCCTCTATTCTAGACACGCGTATAGGCACAGTGGCGCCGATCTGGGACTGATGAGACCACAAACATCTCCTAAACAACTCCCTGACAAGTGGTTCAGATGAACGGCGCGATAAACTAGGACGAACGAAACAGCTGTCAACGTACGCGCTACGAAAAAACCAGTGACAGAGTATCTTATAGCTGTATATCGGAACCGATATTCGAAAAGACTTTTTGTGTTTAATCAGGATTAATCTTTTTGTATAAGATCAACGGCAACGAAAACCACCGAGCTGTTGGTAAACAGGAGAGCTCTGATAGAAGAGCGCTAAGATGGCTTGACAAAATGTGAAGCCCGAGTAGGTCAAGAAACGACATTATGAGATTGATCCATTTATCATATATATATATAACACCTGCATTTAATAGCCGCTTCTATACTTACCTAAAAGTAATATAAGTTGGCTCGTTTATCTATTTGATTTTCTTTATCCTTTTTTTTATAATATCGATTTATTTTGTTTACTCGCTATTTTTTTTTAAATTATGTTCGTGGATCTTATTAGTACGACGGATTCCGACAAAATATTTAACACTTCGAGAATTTTCGCGCTTTCTAAAAGTATGTCGAATTTTAAATCTTGTTTAGGCTTTCACCTGATATCCTTGGGAGTGTTATAACATAGTTATTGCGCATATAAGCAATAGCTAAAGCTGAGCTATCAGAAACATACGTTTTTCATTTAAAAATTAACCACGGAGTAAATTACCAAATGTATTTGTATTAAAAGATCTACAATGAGTGCACTTCATAGTAATTGTGAGTAAGCGTTAGTCATCTTGTTTCTGTGAGCCTCGCTGTTGTGGATAGGAATAAAATTTAATTTTAAAAATTAGTTTTTCATATTGGTCTCGAGATAAAACATTTAACTACAAATACTATTACAACATTATTTATTGCTAATTTGAATGCACATCTACTGGCATAGTTACGTTTTCTAATTGCTACTGCTTTTGAAACTAGTTTTATCGCTGCAAATAAGAAACCTTAAACCTATTCCACCTGATTTTAAAGACCTTCCTTGAATTTAAAGACAGGAGGTGCTCGGATTTTCTCAATGTTGGTATTTTCGACAGGTTTGGTTTTTTGGCATCATTGCCGCCTGTTTGACCACACAGCGCTCTAATCGGATTTACTAAAGAACCTCTAATATAGCTCTCTTCGTTAGTTTCTGCTATAATTAAGCAAAATACAATGGCGAAATACGTCAAAATGTCCATCTATTTCAAAATATTCTTTGGCAAGCTACCATTATTGACCACGACATGCCCAGTCGAAGTCAGACGTTCACTATGTAATCTCAAAATCTAACTATCCGTATGTAGGAATACGTCTGAAGAGCACTTCGTCTGCTTGTTGGAACGAACGACAAGGTAACGGCAAGGCCATGCGTCACAGAGAACATGTTATTGCCATTTTTTTTCTTTTATCAACTAAGACCTAATATCGAATGGCTTTATAGCCTCCTCAGCAAAAGCGAAGTACACGCCTGTTTTTCAGGAAAAAAAAAGTTATCGTTTTTCTCACCAAGACATGTCTAAGCAAACCGAAACCTCTGTCGTTGCTATCGCCGCTTCGATTTTCTGATACCGCTTTAGCTTTCTTCCCCGTTCACTACGAGGCATTTACTCCATAATACTTTCAATTTGACTGGTCGATTGATGTTGCTGTTGTTGTTGTTGTTGGGTGCACCGGTTGCCTGCCGAAACCTAGGGTCGATCCTGCCAAAGCTAGCTTTGTGCAGATCTTGTAGCAATAATTGATTAGTGTGAGATCTCTTGGTGTCTGCGAACATTTGGCCGTATTTTGTCCTTTGTCTAACATGTCTGGCCATATTTTTACCGAAATTCTGCGCGGTTATTAACGACGATGAGCGGAAGACAGTCTAACTGTTGTGTCAGGATTTTACTGCTGAAATATATTTTACATATGTGCTGTTCGGCGGTATAATAATTGCTCAAATGAGTCTTTTTGCAATATTATTACGGCATAAAGAGCATGAACATGGCCGCAACATAAATGAAAATCGGCTTCGCGAAGTTTTAATTTTGTATTTCGTACTGCAGTCTGCTTCTACTCGAAATTAAAAAAAAAAAGTTAGCCCCTATATTGCGATCCCTTCAGAGGATTATTTACGTCAATCCTCACAAAAAAGCCGGCAACGTAATATTAGTTCGGTACACTTAAAGAATACACTAAGTAATTCTAACAAGGCCATTCTTTGGGCAATACGGCAAAATTCGACAAAAAATAGCGGTTAGGAAATGTGCTTCATCTTTTTTTAATATAAGGCCCCTAGGTATGGGGACCTATTCTTTGATCTAAGGGGATCAATCATTTTGCTTGCTCTTAAATAACGTTAGCAGAATAATAGAATATTTCATCGGATTTTGGCCAACGATCAATTCGGCAACTTTGGCATCAGTTACTTCTCTCTTATTTTGTTTATTGTTAGCCTGACTACCTGAAGCAGATGAATATCGTAAGCGTATAGAAACTGAAAGCTTATGCATTGCGCTGTTTACGAGACAAATATCAAAAGAATACTCGTACGCGCAACAGAATATTATGAGACAAGAGAATTGTACGCTCAAGTTATTACGAGCTCACACAATCTGCAGCACAATTTGGTCACAACCACATCTAAGCCCAGGAAGAGCCCAGGGTTGTTTGAATCAACTATGGCCAATACAAACAGCTACCCAGGAAACAGTTGTCGATAGCAAAAAATTCACAATACCTCTTTCTATTTTGTAAATAAATAGCCATTCTTTCTATTCAACTTTTATCATTATTTTGCTTTCGTATCCAAACAATTTTTTGCCCCTGATGTTCTTCTTCGTATTGTCTTCTAATTTCTGCCTTGCGCTGCCTAATTATTACGTGAACGGGGAGATATCACGAAACGTAATATATAAATTCAGTTATATAGAAAAAAATTGTCAACATCCATCTAAATTCTTCGGCAAATACCAAATATTAGATAAGGTGGTTTTAAAACATTTGAACACTTACGCACATTCTAAAATGCGTGAAACAAAAACAAAAACGTATATATACATATACACACATATGAACACAGTAAAGTCACGTAAGTGTGTAATGTATTTCCGCGTAGTAAATGATAAGGTATATGACAATATACAAAGTTCGCGGGGTTACTTTAGCATGTATCTCATATCACGTCTGATAAGAGTCTTATGTAAACGAATTGCAATAATCTGTTTCACGCAAACATGTAAAATCATTTCGAATGATTTAAAGCAATATGTATCATTTTTCTATAAAAAAAATGGTCGATAATTCAAAGAAATATAGTTAGCAAAAGAAAGCTTACTATATTTTAATGAAGAGATTCATCTTCAAAATAAGGTGTTGAAGGTAACGACGAAAACTTGATTCTGTTTCACCTTCTCTCTTCAAAATCAATGAACGTCATGTGTCGCACATACCTACTTGCATTCGCCCATCGATTCAGGCACTCTAACGGCTTTAGACAGGGGACAGTTTCGCGCAAGCGATCCGCATGCCTCCCTGAAACTTGCCCGAAGCAATAACCACAACCGCTAAGCCTAAAGCTAAACGAAAAACAGGAAAGCGTCCTTCGAAGGCATCTAATAGAGCCACGACTTGCTCAAAAGTTCTCTTTGTTACACAAAACAAACAGGCCATAGTTTCGTAATCACAAAACAGTTTTATATGGCTCTGGTCGATTCGGAGCATATTTGTGAGCGGCGAGTGCCATCGTATGGCTATCATCACAAAGCCGTTCTGGTGAGCATCGAAATACCCAAAATACGCATGATGTCACTAATAGATATCTCAAGAAAAACAATATGAATAGTAAAGATGCTGGGAAACATGGTACATTTCTATATATATGTATATGATATTTCACATTGGCTTTCATCGTCTACTTTGACCTTTAACCTTGACAAAATCGCATCCAGTAAAATTTTTTAAATTATTTGATAGATTTTTATATTAATAATCTTTTATATTCCCTGTAGAAACAATGTTTATGAATGTTTAATGAACAATGAATTCGAGTGTATATCTCAGTAATGTGAGCTCCAAAAAGAGAAAACATATTTGAACAAACATAGTACGATCCCTTGTGACAAAAACACAGAGTCGATTGGGACTGAATGGGCAAAGCAAAGGTCACGAGCCAATGGTAATAAAAACGAGCGTTCAAACAATGGCGTTCAAATGAGTCGAACTAAGTATCCAGTAAATGAATTTATTCAATAATTAATAACTAATTGATTTGTTAATAACTAATTGAATTGTTTTATTTTATTCAATGATGCCAAGCGATTTCAATTGGATTTTTTTCTGCTATTTCAGCATGGAAGAGTTCGACATCGACGCGTCTAATGTACCTGCTTATCTTTACGGTGATCTCTTTTGTGTGCTGTGTCATGCTATCTAACAGGTTCGGATCGTTCTTTTACTTTAGAACGGGTTCTTCACTTATTTTACCTAAGCATAACAAATGTAATATCAGTTGCTTTTTCTTTTCCACAGTACATTAGAAGGAGAGAGCCCTCGAATAGGATCGGGAAATAGTATTCTAACGAGATAGAACAAAAATATACTAGGTGACAAGTATAGGGTGATGACCATAGGTGACACAATAAATCCGAGTTCGTTTACTGCTACCTCAATACGAGTTTTTCGCGCTTCAGCTCAGCTTACCGAAGACAGTTTCCATTATATAAACCCGCGTAGCATTTGTTACTAGCTGTATAGGTTTATCCGAATGATATATAGTCTTCAGTTAAAATGCTATTTGAAAGCGGACCTTAGATAAGACAAGCACATGTGACGTTCAGCCAAACGACAGATGACGAGTCTATAAATCGAGACTGTATGATTTCGCACACGTCCTATAGAATTGGTCTCGAGTACTGCATTGTCCCAAATCCGAGGCGTCGTCTCTATAATATAATCTAATAATTTGATCATTGAAGTGTCACAATTTTAGCGATATGCCTAGAAGACTCGAGCAGTTAGCATTACTACTATAACCTAATGGTATATAATGTGGAGAATAAACACATCTTTCTACGGGGTAGCATAAAGAAGAACAACAATAACTAAAAAAACAAATGTTCTATTTTTGCCTCATTTGTTTGTGCCGTAAATATACACGCACACGCAGCGTGGTGCGGTGGGCGGACCAAAAATTCGATATGTGCCGTCCATTAAGCTGCGGTTCAGATGCGGGTTACCTTCTTGTATATCGCACCTTGCTTTGTGTAGCGCTATTCCACCTCGCCATGGCGGTGCTTACCATTGGTGTCCAGAACTCCCGGGACATCGTATCCGGCGCACAGCAGGGCTTCTGGGCGTTTAAGGTACGTTTATGAGTTTCGTTTTCACTACGTACACAGTCGCGAGATCTTAAAACTAGTTGAGGCAGATATGTCGCTTTGAGGTGGTGTAACCTTTTAAAACAATTTTACTTTTTTTTTTTAACACACGCGCGTTACAGTATATTCTTATACGGATATCATAGCTGTAATAGTGCTTATGATAGCACATAAATCGCCTATTGCAAAACAGTTACGCAAAGACGTTTATGTTTATCGTCTACAAAGGTCATAATAGCATATACGACAATTCAGACACACAGTGTACTAATATTATTATAACTTGAGACAGGTAATAATTCTGGTAGGAATGGTGATGCTGTCTATCCGAGTGAGACTGCCCCCAGGTGTGTTCATCGGCATTGTCAAGTACGCCGGTCTCTGGGGAGGCTTCGGATTCATGGTCTTTGCTTATCTAGTCATGCTTGAGAGCGCCTATAAGTAAGTTACTGCAGCGTTACATCGCTCTGACATAAAAATGTGATAACTGATACACGGGGGCTACCCCCTCAAGATTAAGTTATGACTCTGGTACTAGCGTTAGCCTCGAGAATGTCTCTAAGTTGCTGTATCTATTTCTGTGCTTTTCATTAGACTAAACAAACTGAAAATGAGATTTGCGTATACTTTCCGTTATTGCACTGCGGCAGCTATCCAATTCCATAATGTAGTGATGGAATAATAAGTAAAAAAATAACTGAAAGTTTTTTGAGTCGTGCCAATTTCAAAGTTCACAGCGTTCACTAAGCGCTTTCTAAGTTCACGTAGACTACTGGTCAACATACGAACAGATCAGCTAGCGACACGGCCACCGATTTACCACCTTTGGTACAATAATGTTTATATTTTATAATTTTTGTGTGCTTTCTGTTTTTATTGTTTCCCACGTTCCCACGTTTCCGCCAACTCGCTTCAGATACGAAGACTGCTTGGCGCGCAATGGACAATTGGTTAAGGTGATTGTAATGGGGGTCTTGGCGATGCTGTGCTCAGGCGCTATTATGTGGACACGTTTCGAACGCGATGCGGACGGTACTGATTCGAAAAGTGGATCTGGTGGCGGTAACACGGATCAGGGGTCAAAGTGCGTGGCCAAACACTCGATGATGCGGCTCAATACGGCGCTCTACCTTATCGTATTGGCCATGACGTTGGTCGCCGGCTTTCCCGATGCACATAGTCGGCCATGTCGTAACTTGCTGCCAGGCGCGGTCACACTAAACTTTCTTGCCTTCCTCACACATCTCATCTCGCGCAGCAACGTATGCGGCGAGTTTGGTGACAAGAATACGTGGGACGGGCTTACGCTCATTCTAGGCTTGTATCTATGCTTCAGCACATTGCTCTACCTGCTTGTGAGGTTAGTGCCTAACCACAACTAACAATTATATCATATATATATATTTCGTTTCGTGATGGAGCATTCATTATACAATGTAATCTCCACGGATTGAAATGCAGCAGCATTTCTTGCGAATTACATTTTGTCCAGCCCCTTTTATTTCAAATAACCCTCTTATTACATATGTGTATGATGTTTTTTTCTATCGGTGCAGACGCAACGACAAACACTCGCCCTGTTCGATGTCGACGGGCGCCCTGGGTCGCTTCTACCGGCGGATCTACCTCCGCGGGAGCGGCGTAACGGCTGGCGTCGGCGCACACCAGGTACACGGGGGCGGAATCATGACAGGAGACGTGGACCGAATTAAGTTCAGAAACTGCGATGACATCTTTGACGAAGTCGATCAGCTGCAGTATTCGTGGTGCGTCTTCCATCTGGTGCTCTGCGGGGCGGCGCTATTCGTCATGCTCACGCTAACTAATCTTTACTACCCCAAGAGGAGCACCAAAGTAAGTCAACTCAAAAACAAAGCCTACACAAGTGGGAAAACAGCGTACTGACTGCTGCGACATGTGTACATACCTATTTACAACCAACGGCATTTATTCTTCCCTAAGCACCCTATCAAATTAAAATGTTTTCGGGACTTTTGGGATTGCCTGTCTCTGACCAAGATCAACTATAGAATATGCAGATAAAACCCTTCTGTGCTTCATGTGTGTTGAGATAATATTTCACTAGTAAATAATTTGGTATAAGGTTAATGAATTCCTAGCAGATTTATGGGCCCTGGAAGGGTTCGACAATTGCTAGGAAATAACCTACATTTTAGTGTTTGTTGTTATTCTGTGTACTTTTTTCAGGCAAGCTGGTACGAGCTAATGGCAATACCCGAGCATTTGACTGACGCGAGATCGTCATCGTCGGCGGCGTCTCCGCTGCCAGCGGACCCGCATGCCACTCCTCTGCTGTGGATGCATGTCATAGCCTCGTGGGTATGCGCAGCGCTTTATCTCTGGTCGCTGCTGGAAACGACCACCTCGACAAAACAGCAATCTAAGGCCGAGCAATACTCATATTCGTACAATGCTAATGATAACAATAACACGAGCGACCATTGCGCGGTATAACGCAGAATGTTCGTTCTGTACATAAACCCGCGAAAGATGTCGAGGTTGAAATCCGGCACCAATATCTCTAAGATCGACATGAGAAAGAAATCAATGCCTAAAAGCCCAACTTGGCTTGCGTAAGATTGTGTTACTCATCCTATGCAGCCGGATCGTTTTGGATGTTGGTAGAATGATTTTATCATATCATAGTGACGAAAACCTTGACGGTGGATTTCAGTTCTATACATCTGCAAAAAAAATCATTCGGAGACAAAGAAGATAACGTTCGTCGCGTCTATTTCCATTGGTATGCCCGGAAAAGAGATTGGGCGTTCGTGGGTATTTACAAACAAATAAAAAAAAGCTTCAGTCTATATTATAAAAGCCACGGTTGCTTTCACAAATAGAAATTAAACCACTTTTAGCTTTCGGCAAAACGGATGTTCATATGGAAAAAAAACTATTATAATGCATATGCAGAGGCAAATGAACACATATCGACCTAGAAAGATTCTTCTAAAGAAGGCAGAATTTGAGAGGTTGCCGCACTTATCGTAGGAGGAGATTTGGACTGAACGAATAACTAAAATGCTATCGGGATATAGACGAATGGGTGTCGAGGAACGACCACAGGTTGACCATGTGACCTATAGGCGGGTCTGCTTGTTGACACCCCATTTGCGCCTGGAGGAGACACGTTGCCGGCGGCTCCGTATATACTAGATAAACAAAAGTATATGCGTAATACTTGACATGCAAGAACCGCCAACGACCGATTGTATTTATCTCAATGTATTTCTGCGTATTCATTTCTCTGGAGACACTTGAAAGCATTAGGTGAATTGTAGAGGCACCGAAGTAGCGAAATGGAGTACGCGATTACTGAATGGACTGAAACGAACTTCAATCAAGATACGCAGATCAAATACGTGGCTAAATGAAGGAGCAACCGTCGTTAGTGGGACTGAAAAACCCAAAAACAACTGTTCCTGTGGCAGACAAAAAAAATTCAGACAGATCATGATCGTAGGTATAAATCGTTGTTGAAGAAATACGAACACAATAAAATGAGAAAAAAGTATGAAGTCTATCTGGTTCAAAAGAAAACTATAGTATTCTATATATGTAGATTATATGTGTGTGTTTTCATATAAATCTATTACTACTGGAGAAAAAGAAAACGAAACCGAGAAGAAATCAAGGTACGAAACGAGAGAGAAAGAAGTAAAACAAAAAATGGCGATATTTCTCAGAAAATACGGGCTAGGCATGATTTTGTTTACTGCAACCGACGAAAAAGCCCTCTAGCGGCTTATTGCGCGACCGCCACCATCATCGTCCACCAGTGATAGGCGACTACAATAGATACTAACTTCTATTTATAGAAAAAAAAAGACAAATAAACAGAAACAGAAGTAAAAAAATTATGTTAATATATCAAAAGAAAACAAAAATGTTCATAAGTGACGTTATATCACAACAGATTACAATAAGGGACAGTTAAAGATGTATGAATTAAATTAGGATGCGTTGAGCGTTCAGCATTGACATTGACCGAGAAACATGGTCAATCTTTTATTCACGTTCATATATATATATATATATATATGCTACAAACACATACGCAACATGATCACACTGTCAACGCAGACGTATTAGTAATACAAAATACACATATTGTTATATCTATTGATTACGTAACTAGCCAAAGTAGAGCAAAAACAATCCGTGAACTGCTAAAATAGAGGCTCACAACAATATACAATATTGCTATTTCTTATACACATGTAATGTAATATGGTGGTTTGAGTGTTTGATATCACTGCTCTACATTATGCATGATATCAATCGTGCAAAAATTATATTATTGAAATGGATTGCAGACTATGTTATCATAATCACTCACCAAGAGCATCAAGGTCCGCTGGACACTCCGCAGGCTTCTCGTCATTTTAACGCCAGCCTTGCTGGTAATGCTAGTGCCGGTCCTTTTAGCGCTTTCGGTCCGACAACCTTTCATTATATATATATATATATATATATATATATATATATATATATATATATATATGAGTAAAATATGTACGAATACGAATCAAAAAAAACTGAGGACGATGCGGATGGAAGCGATGATAATAATGCCAATGAGGTGCAGGTGAGGCGGCACTCTTCGCGCCAATCATTGAAGGTTTTCTCGTGTCTTAGTCAAACAAGGTACAACAAGGCCGCGCGCGCCCGGTTTCGGTAAACCAAAGCCAAAAATATAAACTCGGACAACAGGCTCCTTCGTAAAAGAGACAGATAAGAATGTCGAACGTTGATTATATCTGAATCGATGTAGTACTAATGGGTGACGATAAATACGTGGAGCCCAAAAATACTGTGTGGACATTACTTTAAAGCTGAGTGCAGTCGTAAATGATGATACCAAATCAATATTAGCAATGTTCAGATACTGCAATACGTTACGTGTGAAGTCACTGGTTCTAGTTCCAGAAGTGACCACTTACAGATGCATCTCCTAAAACTAGGCAAATAGAGTAAAAGCCATGCGTATATATATAGTTGGTAATAATTATGATAACAGTTGATGACAATATTAATAAATATGAGATAGTAATAATCTATATATATATATATACGTACGCAGACCATAGTGTTGAGAGCAATTAATCCAATACAGCAAACTATTATAAGAAAGCAAGATATAATAACGTATGAATCGGGCCATTCTGGGTTGTTGGAGAACGGGGGTGTCGATAAGAAGGAAATTAAATAGAAGAAAAGCTACGAACGCTGCAGGCAGGCGTGTCATCCCTTACATGGAGGCTGGGTTGTTGTGAGGGACCGTGATTTTCTTCAAAGTTCTCGTCTTTTTGGAAATGTTCGTTTGGATACGATGACGTTGATCAGGGTGGCGACAGTAGAGTGCGACCGCAGCAAGTTAACTGGCCGAACGAACTGTCACTATTATTATATGTTTGCCATCACATGTCGCAACGAATAGTATAGCAACGCCTTAGGTGACATGTCCAACAGTAACAATGATGTTAGTAGAACAACCAAAGCTATAATAATCTTCCTATTAATAATGGTGTACAAGTGACAGAATCAGATAAAGAGACGTCAGTCGATTGAAAGAAAATAACAGAACAATGCTGCTCCAAACGTTTCCTATTTAAGATATTTCGTGAATAATACAAAAGAGAAATAATCAAATAAAAACAATAATAATAGATATATGAAGAAAAATGTTACAATCATGTAGCATATCAGTTGATGGAGTTGATAAAGTTTATTCTACATAGTTACAAAAAATCTACGATGTAAATTCACTGTGTTTTTTATTGTAGTCAGTAGGCTCATGAACATATGATATAGCGAATTTCGTGATTTTTTCATTTAAACGAGAAGAGATGTCGATCTGCGTGATGTTTGGACTGCAGAATTTTCCGACAAAACTGACAGTGTTGGATACATATGCGCCTTCTACAATATGAATATAGAAATGCATGTGCCCGTATAATTTTCTCGTCTTTATCGAATGATTTGTGTAACCCGTAAGCGTTCTGTTCTTATTGTATTCTAAAAAGCAGATACTGGACGTAAGGTATACAACAGTACCTAGTTTGTTGGTGTGATCCCGTCAGCTTCGATAGCAGTCTTCTCAAAAAATAAGGCAGACTGTTGATTGCTTCAAATATTAGTACATCAGCTTTGGAGTCGGCACAGCCGAAGCAACGATGTCATTGCTTTCCTATAGGTACCGAAGATTAAAGGTAGACTCCTAACAATCTAACTAATCAATTTGTTAGCGAGCATTTTTGTGCAGAGGTAACACGATATGGCTTATGCCATGTTCATCTACGTTGTCGTTTCGTTATATCCTACAGAGAAGTTTCTGATAAAGATAGGCTAAACTGTTGCTGTTGCGTATCTTTAGATCCCATAGACGATGGCATTCTACATAGATATCTAAATGCTTCAATCCTTTTTACTTTAATGATATAATTAATTCTCACACAACACAATTAAACAAAAAATTGTGATAGGTATAAAATGGCGAGAAATCAAATAGGCTGCTTAGCGTACAAATATATACAACAACAAACGTGTAGATTTTGATTCAGACGAAAAATAGATTATCGTACCCTAACGCAGAACTGTGCTTCTTACGATCATTTTCAGAAATATTGCTTATTAGTGAGGTTATGGCCCATCTTGCAACAAAATAAATTCAAAGCTGCGCACTTAAAATCGTGTTTTGGAAAATAATAAGTTATTGTCTGACGCACACAGGTTTCTGATCCGCTCGTACGACAGACGGTGCTGACTATCTACTAAGCGTTTATATCGACCATAATTCTAAATAATAGCAGCACATAAACTTGGCTGGCAATAGAGGATGCATAATTCGAATTTTAGTCTTAGATTGTAAGCTATTTTTAGCACCAGTGTTTTTCTAAATATATAAATACAAGAAAAACAACAATCACTTATGTTTACTTGAAGCGGCATTAATTAAAAGAAGTAAATGGGAATAATTCAGACAAACCTTGGCAACTCAAAGGCATTCAAAGATCAGAAAAATTTGTTCACAACATGGATTTTTGACTTCTATTTGGAACGACCCTTTCGTCTTGGTCCTTTTCCATGTGAAATATATCCGATAACTCGTAGTCACAGCGGACTGATGCTAAGTGAAAAGGACTAAACATTTAGCTTGAATGAGATTGAAATTTTTAAACGGTAATAGCCTATTAGCGTCCTCGAAGTCTCAAAATTAAATGTGGGATAAACGTTACATACACACGGACATTAAGGTAGCAAATTTTTGGTTCGCGTAGTTGGCGAAAGTTCCCAAACCGAAGGTACCCTAATTTTGTCAAAAATTGGCTGTACTTTTATGCTTACGTTTTTCATGTTTATACCTTACAATGATATTTCATGCAAGTATTTGTGATAAAAGCAATGAACTTTCCTTTTCAATTTACCATGAAAAAGAGAGAGAAAGAGAGGGAAATAGTATCGAAGACTCAGGTAGAGTTTACCGTAATCGTGTAAATCGTATCCTTGCGAAGCAATGGCGTTTTGAGCTTTTTGTGAGCTACGTTCCGACAAAAAGACAAACAAAGATTTGCTTTTACTTTCCTTGCCGCTGAACAAATAGTAAAACATAAAAGCGTCTCAGACCCCCCTACAATAAATGTATATTTCGTAAATTATCACACTATAGTTGTTCCTGTATATACATTTTATTTGCCATTCATTACAGAATCTCAAATCAATGCCCTATATGAAATTTTTGCTGTACGTTTCAGCATTGCCCATAATGATTTCGCTTGACAAATGAAGCTACTCTTACTTCATTTCCCAGTGATCCCTGTAGATAACCATGGCAAATTGATGATATCTATTAATGCAAATGGAAACGCAGGTGTTTTGCAACTTCAGAATTCAGCGATTCCATGCGATTGACATTTATGACGAGGCCCGTTAGCTTGTGGTGCGTATACAATTAAACAAGATGCAGACGTATTGAATGTATAATCGCAGAGACACTTGTATATAGTGTACTGCACGTACGCATACCTGATTGAATAAGAATTGCCGTTAGTTGTATACGGCGATAACTCTCATCTACTGCCACCATTAATTATGTGGACACGTGAAAATAACATAAATTTTCGGGGCAGCGTCTGCTCAGCCTGTCAATTTCTGCTCAGTTTCACCGCAACAGTTAATACTGTGAGCCTACGTTTTAAGGCTGTCTTCTAAAATTTTCAGCATCGGTGCAAACAGATAACGGTTCAGTTGGTGACTGCGATCTCCGCGTTCATAAATATACACCTGTCTTGAAGCAGTTTCTTCGTATGATAGCGGGCAAGTTGTCGAAACGTGTGCTGGTCTACAGCGCACGCTCATTCATTGGTCGTCAACTTCAGCATAATCATATTCAATCAATAAATCATATGATATGTAATGAAAACTGCTTAAAGTATTCGGGATCCTCCGCGTTTCGAGATCCATCTTGAAGTACAACATTTTCGACTTGTTTTACATGACAAATATGAATAATAAATTTCTCACTTTCAAAACGAATGTCGGCTACAAATAATACTCAGCAATTATCCAAATACACACACAAAAAACATGTTTTTTTTATTATTTACACTAGAACTGAAGAACACATTAGTGGCGACACTGGTAAGAGCTCATTGTTGCTAGACACTTAGAGAAAAAAGTTCCCCGAACTTCGGGACTAAGTGTTTGGATGAACTTATCTGACACGATCAATTCAAGCACAGCCGTCAACTGTTCCGGGTGGGCGGACTTTATACATTCTACAATGTTGATTGACTCAGCAATTTTGTTAGTTTCAATAGGCAATGTATCCGCGGCATTCTCAATCCGTCTGACAAGCGACACTTCCTCAGAAACGGTGACCTTTGGCGTCGATGGTTTTAGTGTCATTGTGGCTTTTGATTCAACGATAGGCGGGTCCGAGGCAGGAGCTTTGGATTCGCCCTGACCCGGTATAGTGATGTCCGGCAGAACAATGCTTGACTCATCCAACTTACTGGGATCGTTTGCAAGGTCCGAGCTCATGGATTCGACGACTATTGATTCAGATGTGGGTGCGTCTACTACGGCTGCTGGCGCAACAGAACTTGTAGCTGAAATCGTTGTTGATTCCTCTTCCTTGGCAAGTTTATTGGTATCAGACACATGCATGCTTTGGTCAAGGTCAACCCCCTTGAGCGAATTGTGGCTGGTTTCGGTACTTGAATTTTGATCACTTTGCACCATGACTGGTGGGAATAGTGATTTCGCAGTACTTACCCGTGGATGTTTGTCGTAGGCACAGACTTCATTTGCGCGACTAAAAGACACTTTTTTGACCGAGGCACCTGTCGAAACCCGCTTAAGGATACTTCGGCCAACTGTTGGACTCACCGGTGTTGCAAATCCGCCGTTCGAGCTGGGTTGAGGACTGCCGCTATCCACAGTCCTTTCTGTGGATGCAAACGCTACCGCTTTCTCTCGCCAGGGCGTTGAGCTTGTGAGAGCGTGACGACCCTCAGAATGAACGGTAGAGGATTGGACAACAGGACCGGCATTCATAGTATGCCGCGCTTGCGCAGCTTCGAGCATCATACGTGATCGCGATGAGGGTGAATTTATCATGAAATTACGCTGTTGTAGCTTTGCCGTGATTGGAGACTCGATCGGCTGACCTGCAACCATAGTTTAATTCAATCAGCATAATGTTACTTCAAAAGTGATAGCCTCAGGGGCAGAGACAAATTTTTAAGAAAACATTAGGCAGTATAGAATCATACGCACTATAAGGCATGACTTCGGCTGCTATAATTTTCCGCCCCACAGTGTTATTTTACCTGTAAGTTTTCTTTTACGAGCGCCCTGGGGTCTGAGCGGAGAGTTGACCGGTATCGTCTCTTCTTTCTCCCGTTCCTGCTGTTCATTTTGCATCATTTCAACCATTTTGCTTAGGGTTGATGGCTGGTTATCAATGACGACTACAGGCTCCGGCATATCATCAGTCTCGCTGTACGAAAACCGCTTTTTCTTCTTTACTAGAGGCTCCTCATTTTCGTTGTTGTTATCAGTAACTACGATTGGGGTTTCTGGCGATGTAGCAGGTATCACCTCTTGCGGTACGATAGCCGGAAGAGCCTGTTCTATCGGAGTTCTGTGGAGCTCTTTGATATCGATCGTGTCTCCGCTCTCAATTGGTTTGACGCCGTCAGCTTCGGTATCTTTGCCTGCTAGACTATGTTTAACTTTGGAAGCTCGCTTTGAGTCATCGTCTTCGATTGGAGCCTTCTCCTGTTCCATTTCCTTAGGGGTAATATCTTCAAAGACAGCATCCTCGTCAATGACTGGAGCCACTACCCGAGTTTCCGTGATCAGCAGCTGATTATTACTATTGTTAGTAGGACCGTTTTGCTGCGATGAAATCTTATCGATACTTTGCGATAGATCCTGATACATGCTAGGAATGATTTTCGATTCAGATTGCTTTTCAAGTTGATGTTCGGTGAAAATTGACTTCTTTTTAGCTGTTTTTATCGGAGTGAACTCTTCGTCTTCTTTGGTTGCCTTACGCGAGCTTCGACGTTTAACAGTTGCGCCAGAGGTGGGTGTTGCGGCTTTGACCGGAGTCTTTGACTGAATTGTGACAGGCGACACATCATCAACGACAACATCCTGCGAAAAACTCTGCGATACCTGCTCAGGTTGCGAGAGAGGTACAGACAGAAACTTTGCGTACCTGACAAAGGGGTCCCGGATGTTACTCTTCCAGTGGCCGCTTCCATGTTCAATTGCGGATCGCGCCATCTGGAAGAACTTCTCATTTTCGCTGCTACTGCCAACTTTCTCTGCCCTGTCGACAAAGGCATCGGCAAACATGGCTAATGCGTGCAGCAGAGGCAATTCGACGAGAGTCAATGAAGTTTCCCGCACCGCTGCCTTATTTTTTGTATGCTCAAGAAGTGGTAAAATTTCAGGAACGATCGTAAGCAAAAGATGTCTACATAGAGACACATCGTTGGTGCGTTGGATCAGCGCGCTGCATATATGGACAATATTAATAAAGAACTGGCAGTTTGATTTCAGTTGTTTCTTACTTTGAATAAACTCGTGGCTACGATTAGCGAGCAGGGATACACACTTCACAAGGGAATGGAGGTTTCCCAATGGGATTTTTTTACCGATCGTGACGGTTTCTAAGCATGCTTGCTTCGTGACAGTTTCAAAAGCTTGACTGCAGAACATCAATCTATTGAGGTCAAATTCGGTTTTAGAGAGCTCATCCAAAAGGTGTGCGCATAGTTCTTCAATGTGTTGGTTTACCCCGACATCCTTTACGAGGGCCGCATCGATCGCAAATACTGTAAACAGGTCCGTCCATTTTTTTATTACATCACTTGTCAGACTCAGGTTCGGCCTGTAACTTATGGAAAGAAAATATGAACACAGCCGATAATTATTACAGACAGTTGCCTATGAGTGAATAGCTTTTGAGGCTTTTCGTAAGGCCTCTAGACAGGCTAGCAGAAACTATGAAAACGTTAAAAATATGCACTTAATATAAGAGAACACGCTGAAGAAGCAAATTAGTGCTCATAAAAGGTCATGTATATACTACTCGTGCACGCCATTGAACTAACCTGAATGGGTATTTAAGAGTATTAATTAGTGCGCTAAAATCATGTTCTAGGCTGCCGCCCTGATTCACTTCATGCGTGTGCTTGATGAAGCTGGACAAATGATCGGCTATTTCGAGCCAGGAGTCTGTCTGAAGAACACCCTCCGCTTGAGCTAGACTCTTGGAAGCATGATCGGCAAAATGTAGGAAGTTCATACCCGCGCTCCCGCATTCGAGCAACGCTTTAAGTAATTGACGGTAGGTACGCTTGTTTTTGGTAATCTTCAACGCCGGGGCATCGTGCCTCTCTTTTTCACACATAGTTGGTACGTGCTGGACGAAAAAGGCAGTCAGTGACATGATTGGGCATTCATGCATACTTGATGAACCATCTCGCAAGTTAAACTGTGATGACACCATTACCTTGTGAGGAACGCCATTAGCTAAATCGCTAAATACGCTTAGCATCTGCTCGGTGTCGAACAGTCTAGCTTGAACCAATTTGTAGATCATAGAGAGAAACGCACGCACCAAACCATAGTGTCCATTGTCATAGAGGGAGCTTATTCGAGAAAGCAGTATTTTCGCTAGCAGGTATGGGTAACCTTGAGGCGGAGGAGTAACGCCGTGAACAATATTGTTCAGTACAAGTGTGAACACCTCTGTCAGCAATGTTTGGTGTTTAACAAAACAGGCATCTTTTATAGTATGCTCATTTATGGGTAGATTGTCATTTAGTTTTGACATTTCTGTCATTATCTCAATAGTTCCCTTGTAGAGAATTAAAGCGAGGATGGCATATGCCTCCTGTGGGATTTCTCTTGTGGGACTAGCGAAAGCTGTGGGATTGACCTGCCTTGTTTTAGCCGATGGAATACTGAAGATTTTATTAATAAGCGGGAACACTACGTCGTCAAAATGTGCTTCAATATCATCCTCAAGCGAACGGACAACTTGCCACCATGCGCCAAACTTATGCGGGGTCGTTGCTGCATCTGTGTCCCGATACACACGGTTTAAAGGGTTGAGTAGAAGCTTTATGTATGCCGGCTTCTTTAACATATAACGGGGCAAACTCTCAACAAGGATTCGCCAAGAACTGAACGCGTCGGCATGTACGCTAGGATTAGTCTCCTTAAACGCAAGTGTGGCAATATGCAAAACGCCATTTGTTACTGCAGTCGGCACCTTTTCGAATCCAGTGAAACGAACCATTGCCCTCCACAGAGCTAAGGCATCTAGGAATTTCTTGTTATCAGCCAGCTCTTTCATTTTCGGTACAAGTTTCGTCTTAAACATATCAATTACTGATGCCAAAGTTGCCTCATCTTTGTAAACTGCCGTCCGCACACTTGAAAGTACATTTCCTGCTAGTATCGCAGTAGACTCGTCCTTCAACAAATGCACCATTATGGCTATGCCGACGTACGCTTTTCCAGCGTCACCCTTACAGCGATGTGAATTTCTTTTAAGATACTCAATAATTCGACGGCACGATACAAGCTCCATTGTGCCTGCGGCAAGCTCTCCCATAACACAAAGGATGTCTACATGCATCTGTTCCCATCTGCCGTCAAGCTTTTCGAGCCACTCGAAGGCCTCTACCACCCGCTCTGTGTCCAGTGAAGCAGCCCATTGTTCACGAAACTTTGTCAGGGCTTCTGTTGCTTCCGCCTGCGAACTCGGCTCTTTAAAATCCATCTCCGACTCACTGAAATAAAAATATAAGAAAATAATGGAACATCACGTTGGCTACATGTCACTGCACTGGTACGCGGATAAAAACTTAAGGAAGGTATTTTCATAGCATTTTACCCCCTGTATAGATTCAAAGTACCTTGGGAGCCACGAGAAGGATTTTCTGAGCGCGTTCCCAATGATTGCTGAAATAATACAAAAAAATCATGCAACCGACTTTAAGAAAATTAAGCTTGTTCGTATGCAGAAATACATTACCTCACATAACTAGTATATACAATATCATTACAGTATGAACTAAAACCCTCGCACCCGAAACTCTTCCATACAAAAGTGTCATTTGAACATTTCAATTTTCCTGTCCCCGCAGTTAACAAAATATGACAGAACAAAGACTTGCCATCAGCATAGCAGATACCACGAGATTCCAAGTCAAATCTACGGGAAAATAGACTACAAAAATTTAACAAAATTGCACAAAACCATGTACGTGAGCAAAACTGCGCTTTATTTCGACGGGTCTTTCGCACCATCGTAATTTTTACACATCAATAAGGTAACACAGTAAACGAATTAGATATGCGCATGAACCTAGATACTCAAGTCACTGAAAGAGAGGCCTCAGAAAATCTACGAGCGTATCTTTTTAATTCTTTTTAATGAAATTTGGTTTCACACTTAGCTTTTTTTTTGTTCAAGGCAGCTACCGCGTTTGACCCGGTCCCGCGCTGTCATCTAAATCATCTTTGCTAGAAGGCTGATTCATTAACCCGATCCAGCGTAATATTGAAGCACGAAAAGCAATTTACCTTGATATTTTTTGCAGCTCATTGACATTTTGTCGTAAGTTACGCTTTAGATGCCCACTAACACCCCTTTTATCATATATGAAATCGTAATGGCAATTACTACTAACACATAGTTCTTCGAGTTTTGTTTAATGCGAGCTATCAATATATCGGGTTTTATGGCATCAGCAGTTAACAAATAAGCATCGAGCGGAGGTAATTCATCAACAGCTATTTAAATATCCACAAAATTTATTTGAAAAGAACTATACTGCAGTACCGAATTTCCTGAGGTAATAAAACAAACAGGCTCAGTTCATATCATATGTGAAACATCAATAACAGAGGGATAAGACCACACAGAATACGCGTTGAGCTTTGGAAGAAAAGCAATCACATTGCTCAGAAAGCACTGTTTTTTTTCAATTTCTTTGTCACCTCGTCTAGCTGTTATGTTTGAACAGGGCGAAAATATTTATACACGATCTGGTCATGTATTCAAAGTAGGTCCTAACTATGCTACTGGCAATATATTGGCAGTAAAAGATGCTTATTTAAATTTTATTTAAAGGTATTTGGGTTTTTTAGCCAATAGTTTTCGAGGCGCACGACTGGACAAAAGTAATGTCAGTGTGGCTCCATTATAAAGACGTAACAATACCTTCGGCATACGGGGAAAATTGAGTGCCCGTTGAAAATACTCTAATAAGTATACAAGTTCCAATCAATTTCAAAACTTCGTGTAGGTTGCTATGTCCGCCCAAATAATGGCAATTATGTTGTCGCTAAATGAGTCCGTCTGCCTGCCAGATTTTCACTATCTAACTGAATTTCGTCGGTTATGCAATCTTCACCGCGATAGTTGCTTTTCAAGCTTACGCTCAATTTGCATTTCCAGACTGATAGAGTAACAACGTGGCTATATAGAGTACGTATTAGGGATACTTAAAAGTGCATACGTATCATGCATTGAAGAATGGCTAAGCTAATGAATGTTTATTGTGCTTGAAATAAAACAACATATATAGTTTATTTAGAACAACACCAAAAAAGCATTTGTTATTATATGAATGCCTTCTTGATTTAAAAATCGATTTTCTTAAAATCCAAAATCCATCATTTGTCACTTCAGTTTAACTTGAAGGCTACTAACGACGGCAACAACGTTTAGAAGTAACTGCGCGCCTGAAAGTTATCAAAAACCAACTTACTGATGCACTTGCTAGATAATGTTTATATTACATTATAATTTTATATAGTTTTTATAAATAACACGATCGTAAGTTACGCGTAAACATAAACTGGTACGATGCATACAGATCAATGTGTTCAGTGTTTTTGTCTTAAGAAAAGACCCGAAAGAAGTAAACGATTTTTGTATTTGAAATTGGTCCGAGAAAGTTTCCTTGCCCACATTGCAATGTATCGGCCAATTTTCGGTGTCCATGGTTTTATTAGCACCACTTTTTGCAGGTTGTCCACTTCTGTACAATCGCGCTTTAAATACCATTGCGTAGACAAAGAATAACCACTATAATTAAGTAACATACTGGATAGTATAGCGGTTCTTCCTATTCAGGAAGAAACATGAGACTTTTGACTGAACTTTGTGCAGATGTTATGGATTCTGAGGAACTAAAATTCGAGGAGCCTGTCTCCCCTCTCTCCTTCTCTCTCTGTCTGTCTCTATTGACAAACTGCCGTCCTATGGTGTAATTACGGGACAATGCATTCGAATGCAAAGCACTGCATTTATTGTACTTCTGTCTCATGGTTACTGCGCAAAGAGCATTACCCAACTCGCGCCACACATATACACAGTCACAGCGTACAGTCAGAATTTACCAAAAACACCTGAATGGAGACCTTTATTTCATTTGTGGCAAACTGAGTAGGATTGTCGCGTATCCGGATAAACTCACAAGATTTATTTATCTAGAAATTTTGCGACTTTAGTTGCAATACTATGACAATTCGATTTGGCGCAATTAGCTGAAGCTGACTTAAATTCACCGCTCAAAACTTCCTTTTTTAAACCGGCAGTACGATTCACTGAGAAAGTATCCTTGAGGTTTAAAGGGACGACACGTGATTTAGCAAAAATCGAACTCAGCTGAGAGGCTGTTTGTCTTTGTATTGTTGGCCGTTTGTACTCACATGCCTTGCAGTGACCGAACACAATTTAAATCAGAAGTTATCGGTATGAACGCGAAATTGGGTCGTTTCACGTCGTATTTTCAGTCAGTACGTGCCGTTGGATAGATGGCATAGCGAAATCCTAAGATTTACTGACGGCGGCGATCGGCCTTCCAGTTGGCGCGCAAATCAGTTGATGCCCTCATGTTTTAAACGACCGCAGCGCCACCTCGGGCGCGAGCAGGTTGCAGATAAGGATGGTGCTTCCAATCGGACAGCGCACCCCCGATGTCACTAGCTTGTCTGTACATTTGTGCACATACTCAATTTCATTTTAAAAAGCTCAAAAATGACCAAACAAATTATAGACCTTCACGAAAATGAATACTTATGCATGAGTTAGCTACTGTGTGTGGTTTGTGTTGGGTGTTAACTAGATTTCTCGCGTGTTACAACGATTTGTAGCTTTGACAGCTAAACTGCATGCCCAGCCTGTGTTGGCCTAAAAGCTGACTTGATCAGCAATATATACAATATATATTTAGCACATACAATTCGCCATATAGTTCTCTGACTATTTTCAACATCGGCTAGTCTAATTTTGAGGTCTATTGGCTTTTGAAAAACGGTCAAGTGCCTGGTCAGCTCGGATGGTACAGCCGAAGCTAGCGTCAGACTCTGTAACCATCGCTACTCGATGAGGGAAAGAACGCTTGTTCCCTTGCCCTTTCTGTCGTTGAGCGCTGACCTTCTAATTTGTAATAGAGGGCGCTGTCGTACGTAAACATGGACTCAAACGTACATTAAATAGGCGAATGAGGAGCTAAGCGGATTCTGCACCTAGACAGTGCGGTGTTCCATTGATTCGTATTGTACTGTCATACATAAAAAAGCAATCTATGGTGCGCTTACCATAATATGTTATTCCGTCGTTCTTGGATACCGCAGATCAGCGGTTCATTCTGTCAAAATGTGGGTTTTCTTCTTTCTAGAGATGATTGAGTGCGCGACGTTTCCCAAACGGCAACACTGTCTCTAGAGAGGACTGCAGCGCAGATCGGATTCTGCGGGCATGTCTTACACGAAGTCGAGCTGTCGTGGTTGGAGTTTATGGTCGAAATTTAGTATCGTGCTACTGATTGTCTGTGCGATTTGGATGTACTTCACGAGAAAACCCGACCACGATTACGATAAACGGTACGTAACAAATGGCCGATTTCAGGTACTAGTAAATACGCAGACTGAATGAAAGCGATCAAAACAAAATTCAATTAAAAATCCTTTATATGTTGATACTGCACACAATAGGCACATAATTTACCAGAGGAATCCTCTGACCGTCTTGTATTATGCCTAATATAAACTAGAGTTTATCGTATCTGTTCTGTAAAAGCATGTATGTTTTTACTGTCACCGGGTGCATCTATTGTTGATATAAGGAGGTGCTTAGCTCACTGTTTATGGGGATTTATGCAAAACTAATTTGTAATGAAATTATAAGATTAGTTTGATTGTGGTATACCTGAAACACACATCTCTGTTAAATATCACTCTTGCCATCCTAACATTAAGTTATCTTTAAAAGCATGATTTTTTTAAATATTTTACATTCAGCTTAGCTTTTCCCTCAGAATATCATGTAATAAGCTTATAAAACATAGGTACAGTCAATTCTAAACAATTTTTAGCAAAACCACTTAAGAACTTACCAGAATGTTTGTATAATGTGCAGTATTTACTATGGATGTATGTATCAATGTGTATAATATGTATTCGCAGTATTGTATTGTAATCCAAGGGCGTTATCTTTTACTCAGCTATAGGAAGATCTACAGCATTAGGTGTGTTCTCCGGACATCACTCAAAAGTACTTCATAGGAGTTGACTACTACACTACTTGGGTACACAATTTCTTTGGTCACACGCTTAATATTTACAGTTCTATTAACCAGTATTGGACTCATCATGATGGATTTCATTCAAGTCAAATACATTTGAATACTATCGAGGAAAAATGACCTTTAACAAAAATACCCCACCGCAGACACCTTGACTAACAAATATCTCATGTCCGTTACGTATAATTTATGAATTTTAAGATGGAAAGTTTCAAGAGGATTATTTGTTATATGTTGTTCATTTTGAAACTACAGGATTTTTGAGCCGTTATTGGTTCGTGACACGGATCACGAAGAATATGTGACGACTGGCCTCGCAGTTAAAACTGAGCACTGTACTCACTGGAAATGTGTGGATGTATATAGGTGCGGAAGACTCGGAGAAAAGGTGACGGTCTATATTTACCCAATCACAAGGTGAGCAACTGCTTACTATTGAAACCGTATTTTGGTAGGAAAAGCGAAAAAAAACAGACAAATGTGCACATGGATCACTGAATTTTTTAATAGAAAATAAGAGTTGATTAAAACATGTAATACTACGTTTTTGGGATGTACTAGGTTTGTACTTTGGTGCAATTCTTGGTATATATATATATATGGTAACCTGCCGAGGTTCTTGGTATACCATCTCGAAGATCCTACCGCACTCGATGATATGATTTAACACATAGTTAATAGAGGGAATAACACAGTGTACTAATTAATGAGCAGCTAAAAATATTACAACAGCATCGATTTTAAACGTTAAATTGAGTTAGAGGCGTATAGACATGTATTTATCTTAACCCCTTTCAACATGAAGATTGATTGTGTCGAAAGTTTTTTTCGCGGCTCACGAAATATTGATCTTGCTTTTGGGTTTGATCAGGTACGTGGACGAAGATGGAGGGCAGGTGGTACCAGAGACGAGCGTGGAATACATGCGGATGCTAGATTGGCTGCGACGCTCTCCGTATTTCGTAGCAGACCCACAGATGGCTTGTCTATTCGTTCCCAGTGTGGACACCCTTGGCGTGCAGCACGCGTTGGCACCGGAAGTGTTAGCTAATCTAGCATTGTACGTACGGATAGTCTTTTGCAGAATAGAGTTCCTATACACTGTATATATATATATATATATTATATAGGCTTACAAAAAATCACAACCTAAATCTTAACGGTTTCAAGACCCGCGTTTTGAGAAAATCGCGGTTATGAAACTGTGCTCACTTCTTCGAAATCTTTCCACGTGTTACGACGCATTATTCCTATTTAATGCCAGTAAGATAGACTTTTAAATGGAGCGTCACTTGACGTATACTGATGACTGGGCAATAAAGTGTACTAATACGAACTTGGGTTTCAATGCAGTATGTTTCGTAAAAGTGGTTTATTAACTCTTGTGAAAAAATTTCTGAATAACGTCCAGACCGTCGATCATAACGATATAATACGCAAACGACGTATTTGCTCTCTAGAAACATACATAACAAACAATAATGAAGTGATTACCAGTAAGAGTTTTTCATATATTTCTATTTATAATACCGCTGTTATTCTATGTTTCAAATTGTAATCATGATCAGGTAGATGCAAACATGTTTTATCAATATGTTAATATATATAATAATAAAAAAACACATTATGAACTTTCGTTAATTTGTAGTGTTATTCATTGCGTACGCTTTCATTTGTGATGTTCTAGCTGGGACGAAGGAACGAATCATCTCGTATTCAATCAACTACAAGCAACTCAACGGACGGGCTTTGCCATGCATGTGTCGGCAGCACTTTCTGATCGAACTTTTCGGCCGGGTTTTGATGTCGCAATACCAATGATGCCCTACGTTACTGGATACAGGATCACTGATAATAAAGAAAAGCTTAGGTGAGTTCTTCCGAAAATCGGCAAGAAAACAAAATCAACTTCCATGGATGATAAAATCCATAATGGTCTATTTGTTTTTCTAAAATCATTTTGATGCCCAAAGCGCTGCTTAACTAAGCTAGCATATTGCCCGCCGAGCTTTGGCCATTAACACTTACGTTATTACCAACCTAATGGATGTCGATATTGCCAGTCCCTTTAATAATTTGTTAAATTATTTAATTTGAGGTTTGAACGCTAGACTTGTTATGTGGGAGCCATACTGGCGTATCATTCGCAGAAGATTCACAACAGTCGCCACCTGCGCCTCTTACTTCTGAGATATATCTGATTAGTTTGTAACGCACGATTTCAGGGGGCAGTTCCTCACTAACTTCAGACAGAATATAGTCATGTTCCATTATCTTCATTGAGAAACGGCAAGAAAAGTAGCAAATATAGTAAGACCCCGCTCCGAACTGAACGGAAAAGCAATTAAATATATACAATTAAATACTGAAAATACTTTAAGACAGATTTAAAAACTAAATAGTTGGCAGTTCACATGTTCATGCACATTCAATTTATAAGCTCTACAAGGTCGTTCATTTTCCCCAGCATAAACGCCATCGCTTGTTTAAAACGTTCCATTTTTGACAAAGGTCTTTCTGTGTTTTCCTATTCTCTTCGATCAGGTTTAGTCGAGCGTGGCAACTCGTATTTTCTCGATGGGCAGAGCTTCCGGAGTGGGCGGAAAAGGTTGTCCTGCAGCTAGCCAGATCCTCGGCAGGAGTCATACTCCTCGAACCGTGCACGAAACATCGCGGAAAACGCTGCGTTTATAGCAGCGGTCTGGCTCAACAACAACAACAACAGCAACAACAACAGCAGCAGCAGAAGAAACACAACATCGTGGAGTATCCGAAAGCGCTTGAAAATGCCGACTTCTGTCTCATACTGAGTGGGGTAGGCGTTGAGTCAGCGCTTGTATTTACCGAGGCCGTTAGTGCGGGATGCATTCCCGTTCTTGTGCATAATGAAGAGCGAATGATTTTACCATTTCCAGAACGAATCGACTGGCTTGAAGTAACAGTTCACTTTAATATTAAACGAAAACCTGACATCATTAGCCATTTAGAAAGTTTTAGCGCGGCTGAGATTCGCTTTCGCCGAGAAAAATTAGTCAGTATCTATGGCAAATACATGAGTTCACCAGTGACTATCATCTCGAATGTTATGGATATTCTAAATGATCGGATTTTTGCCCAGCGTACTGCCGATACCTATGCGTTAGACCGTATCTCACAGGTATCGTTAAAACGAAGAGGTTTTTCTGCCGTCATTCTCACCTACAATCGGCCGGACTCATTGAGAAAGCTCATATCTCTTCTACAAAGTGTTCCGTCACTTGTAAAAATCATCGTTGTGTGGAACAATCCCAATCTTGATCCGCCGACACCATTGGCAAAATCCGTAAAGCCTGTTACAATCATTCGATCTCGAGAGAACAAGCTCACGAACCGGTTTTACCCATACAAAGAAATTGAAACTGAGGCCGTCCTCTCGTTAGATGACGATATTTTAATGCTGACCCCAGATGAGCTCGAATTCGGTTTTCAAGTATGGTGTGAAAACTCTAATAAGATTGTTGGGTTCCCATCACGTTTACATGTGTGGGACAATCAGACAAAAAGGTGGCGATATGAATCTGAGTGGCTTAATGATATTAGTATGGTATTGACTGGTGCTGCTTTCTACCACGTTGAGTATGGCCGACACTTTTTCAAAATGCCGAAGTATCTCCGAGACTATGTGGATTCCAAATTCAATTGTGAAGATATTCTGATGAATTTCCTTGTAGCGAACCTGACCAGCGGTGCACCTCCAGTGAAGGTGGCACCCCGCAAAAAATTCAAACCCGATACGGCGGCAACTGCCACGAATTCGCTATCAGCGAGCTTAGATCATATGCAGGCACGGTCCGAATGCATTAATGAATTTGTCAAAGCGTTCGATGGTATGCCGCTTGGTATATCGCAGTGTCGGGCGGACCCGGTATTGTTTAAAGACAATCTTCCGCTGAGATTGAAACGGTTTAATCAGGTCGGTATTCTCTAATCCCTATTCGACATTGTAACTATTGTAGGCAGTAGGAAGTTCAAATACGTACCGTATGCTTTTAAGTAATACTATTTAAAAACATAGCCTTATATTTTCTAATCTTGCGAATTAATGGTGGCTCTTGCAACCTGCGCGGCTTATACGGCATTTCGGTCGAGATGACGTAAAAGAAGAAAGGTTTAGTTCTCTTTGAATTATCCATAGAATGTTGATTATATTTTTATAATAATGAATGATAATTAGATCGAAAACTAGGAATGCTGAGGTATCGCTGAAATATTTGTAGCACTTCCTGTTGAAGCACTGTATGAGTTTGTGTTTGACGAAGTTTAGGCACAAAACCTTTGTATGACGTTAAAGTTTCAGCAACAACAACAACAATCAACCAAAGTGAACTTTTTTTAAGTTTTGAGTTTAAAAAAGCTAGATAACTATAAAGTTAGTCGCATTTTTTCCACTGTAAAGCGCGAACATAGTATTATCACCTACAGTCTTTCATGCGTCTTTATTCAGGGGGTTTCAACTGTCGTTAACTCTCGTCCGTACATAATTAGCACTGTGCCATGGCTAATACAAAATACGGCATTTTTAGTCTGAAAGAAGCATAAAGAAGATAATGTCAAAACCTAATTAAATGTACATATTTGCTGTTAATAAATTTCATTGTCAAACGTGAAAAGGCGTTTTCATTTGTATTCGATTTTTTTACCTTTTTTTTTTTAAATCAGCTTTACATTTTTTTCAGAACTCCACGTGCATTTTCTCAGTGTGAGTAGTAATTCTAGAATAACTTTATTTAATGCGTCAATAGAAAATTTTTTTAATAATACTGTAATAACGCCTTGGAATAATCCAAGAATTGCTATAGTAATGAAATGTTTTTTTCAATATTCTATGATTCTCAGCTGCTAGTAATAGTGCTGGGGTTTAATAAAAAGACTGTACGCTATGGAGTTATTGAATTATATTAAAGAGGCACCTCCACATCGAAATATAAGGAGAACTTAGGAATAGATGGGTTTATTCTGAGAGATCATTAACGAAATACTTCGTAACTGAAATGACAACGTATTTTTGAAGTACTCGCGAACCGGGTTCTTGTTTTTAGAAAATGATAATTGTGAACCTTTATACAGCTAAACTTGAGGTGTCCGGGGATGTAAAACGTGTATCGACAGAGAATTTTTAGCTAGAGAATACGAGATTCTGATGGAGTAAGAGATAAGCGTGTCCCTAATCGTAGAAGACATAAAGAAAAACATTGAATTTGCTCAAAAGGAAACATCTCGTTCGGATCTATATATCAGATACTACGACCAGTCTTAGGTTATCATACAGTAAGAAATATAAGAAACAAAGCCAATCATCGTAGTGGCGGACGAATACATAGTGACATATTTATACGGGGTCTTTGACCGTAGCAAGAGCTTATTTAAGGCGAGAAATTTTGAAGTAATGAGGAGACATCAGGTGTGTTTGAAAAGGATGGCCACGGTTTTAACGGTAGAAATATAGAGTTTAAGTGTTCGTGAAAGTTACGCAGTCCTTGTGATAGCTTAATGGGTAACGTATATGCCTGCTAAATTTAGAGATAAGTTGTGGTCTATGTTTGAAACCGAGCACAAGTATGCTTTGTTTCATACAGGGAGCCAGCAGCCTGATAGAATATCTAACAACTACACCGGATGTAAAACTCAAAACATAGAGAGACAATCAAAATTATGGAGGATAGGTATGTAGTGTGAGGTCACTACCAATCGAGGTCGGGAGTTTTTCTAAGGTGAGAAAAACTAGACCGCGTCGAAAATCATCGCGTTATCACTGGGAACTCGCAGTTTGGTGTCGTTGATACTCGAAGAACATCCTCAGTGAAGTAGCCAAGATAAAATTAGAGAGAGAGTTGAAGCTGGGTGCGTATCCATCGTTCACAAGTTTTTGCAAGAAATGAGGTGATACCAAGAATTGGTAGCACTTGGACTCGTTCTTTGGGTTTTTGCTTGGGTGCATAGTAGTTACAGTAGATGTTTTAAATCCAGTGAGAAGTGTACAAATAAAAAGGAGAAATGAAAGATAAAAACTGGGATAAATGCTAGAGAATATATGTTAAACTTCACAACATCGAAGAGGTTGCTAAAGTTCTTCCTTTATGAAAAGCTCTATAGCTGGCTAAAATTCTTTATAGGTTTATGGGTAGGTGAATTGGAGGGAATAGATGATGAGTAACTGCTCAGATGGGAAGCCATATCAGAGTCTGTCAAATTTAGGCGTAGGAGAGCTATGGAGGGAAAAGAAACAAAAAAAGCTGTCTATAAAAAAACTCGTTTAATGGTTGGTTCTTTAATACTTTTCCAACAACAGACCTCAATATCGCAGTTTAGCATTGACTCGGGAACCTGCCAAAGTAAAAGGCCGAATGCGACTCATTTGGAGGAGCTATGCAAAAGAAACGACGAGAGAACGATGACCGACTACACAGGATCTAGTCAGACAACCTACTGTCTCTGCATAAGAGCAGAAAATGAGGCAAACGGTCAGTATGCTGTTACCAGGCCCTAACAAGCCGAAATGCTGTTTGAGGCGACCATCAACCGAATGCATTGGCGTTAGAATTGACCACACAATCGACAGGACTGTTACGCATTGACTGGATTGCTTAGTGTTATCGTCAACTCAATAGATATACCCGCGCTCGTTTTTGTGACACGAACATTAACTTACTAGTTTTAGGTGAGAAACGCGCCTAGATGACATATTTTTGCCATTTGGCATGCTTCTCGTTAAGGTCACTTAAACAGTCATTAGAATTTATGCCTTCTCTGACTATTGTCCTATTCTTGTGGCCATTAATTTTCTTACCATTTCTGACGCTGATTCGAGTAGTTCGAAAAGAATATTTAATACAAGCAATAGGGCCAATATATCAGTACTTTTCTCTTTGTTGATCGATCATCAAGATAATAAGTTCACAGATGTGGATTCCGTTGTTAACTTCTTAAGTGATACCCTATATACTATTTACAATGCTACGTCCCTATTGAAAAATTGTATACGTTGTATTTATGCTAAATCGCTGTGGGGCCTTATCAATAAATTCTGTGGCCGTACTGAAAAAAGCTATCCATCACGTACTATAATGGTACCACTTTCAAAGGCTACAACAAGGTAGCTGAATGACTTGTGGCTTTGTTTCTCAAAAGTGGATTCGAATACGACATTTTAGCTAGGCTCATTACTGCTGCATGCTGCAACGTTGCTTCCAGAACGTCCGTCCTAACTTCTTTTAAATTTTTTACCTATTACCGAGGGACTAGCTTTACCACTTGGTATCTCAATGGAAACCGATCTAAATGGCTTACTGTTATTCCATTTAAAATCTTCCAGCAAACATTGCATGTAATTGTCCTCCTGTTAACACGTATACGTAATCTATATCGTTTTTCCAAGATCTTCCAAAGTATTCCTTTGTTTAATGGTAAGGGTAGTTACGATAGTCCAGCAAACTATTAACCCATAGCTATAAGTCACTTGAATGCAAAACTCTTCGACATTATGTTTTTTCCGAATTTGCAATATGATTTTCTTCGGTTTCGCTGCTGTGATCTAGCTCTTTGTCATAACTTATAGCTACATCACGATAGAGGAAACGTCTCCCTTGTACTCCTAATTGATGTCGAAAAGGCTTGTCATACCATTACCTTTAATGTTTTTTGTGGAGATAATTTCCTCTGCTGTGGTTTGTGATATGTTTAAATCTTATTTGACTTACCGTTTTTTAACTATACGCGTTGTTAGTGCGGCTAAAAATATAGAGTTACGTAAGGTTTAAGTTGGGCCAATTTATATGTATCCTTAATATGAAAACAGAGTTTATGCTCTCTGCTTTGCTAACAACGTCACCCTCATAGTACAAATTCAGAAACCCTCCGCAAACGCAGACATCTGTGTCTTTGAGAATTAAGTAGCTAGCTAATTCTACGTGTAACTATGACACACTCGGCTTCCTATAGACCTTTTTAGGCTAGAATGTGTCCTCTCGAAAACTTTTTAATGCTTCATCAACATAGCTAGCAACTCAATCAATTCGGATCGGACAATTATTCAATTAAATTAATTCAGAAAGTGGATAAAGATTAGGTCAGGCTAATCATTGCCTTAGACTACACATAAAATGCTATGCTATGTAGTCTTCCAGCCAAAAATTTCCCGCTAACCTTAGCTTTATAGATTCCTTCTGGAACCGACATTCTATTGTGACGCTATCGGGGTTCAGGGCGAGACATTTAAATATGGTATCAATGTCCTAACGTGATCCCATTTGGACAATCTTTAAATTATCAAGGTCCACTCGTACGTATAGTTTCTTTAATAAACGCCGAATTTTTATTGTTTCAGCGTAACGCACGCTTCAACCTTGTTGTTTTATGTACAAATCAATGTACATACCTAGAGCGAATTGAATTACACTTTTAAAAATTATTATTATAGGACGTTGCTAGCTCAATCAAGTGAGCCCAGCAACTACGTAATGAATTCCCCTAATTGTTAATTAAACATAGATATATGTGGGACCCGTTACTACCCTATACCCGTTGCATAGATGACCTTCAAGTATTCTGCTCAAAGATACTCATATTTATTGGGCATCGTTTGCAATATCTTGATGTCTACGCTGATTTTGGTTTTACTGTGTGCTAATTAAGTTTCATGAGACTGTCGTTTAATTATTGATTGATGTCAGTTGATACGGCTTTGTTAAAGTTTATTTGAATTAAATTGAAAAAATGAGTATGTTCTGTTCTTTTCCTATGGTTGAGACTTTCACTGGAGGATGAAAACGTGTTTACGCTTAAAGTCAAACCTAGATAACTTGTGTATGTTTAAAGTTACCAAACGAATGCGGTCTCATAATTAATTAGAGGAAATTTATGATTGTCCAACTCTCAGTTATCAAATCTCTTCAAACTTGTCGTGAAGAAAATTTATTTGAGGCTAGTACAAAAGGATAGTAAATGACATTTTGAAACCGTATTATAATAACAAAATGCTTCTTGGCTGCACGATCAACTACTAAGCCAAATTGAGGGGTCTACTACAAGATTTTTTTATTATTATTTTATTATATTAATACGTTATTTTTTTAGTTATTTAACATGTGGACTAAGGGGGAGGGGAACTATTTAGTGGTCAGCAAGAGTAGGGTGCGAAATAACATCAGCTTTGTCGGTATCGACGGCCAACAGAAATTCCTTTCAGGACTCGATATTTATAGATTGGTGAACTTTGGCCTAATTAGTAGCGCTAAGGGCCTACGAACAGCCGAAAGATGAGCAGTTGGAACGATACTATGCTACTGGGTAAGTAAACGGCGAAAACAGCAAAAAGATAACAGTCCGGAAGGCTAAAGATGTTTAAAACTTCAAGTTTAGTTATTGTTATCAAGTATGACTGGATAGTCCAAACACGCTGCAACTGCAAAATTGCCGCTAGGAGTTAAAGGATAAAAAAAAACAAGAGTAAAAAACAGCTCTAAGCGGCTCCGATAACAAGTTTTTCTAACAAAAATTTGGGGTAGCCGGTAGCGTAAGGTACTTGGTTGGAACAAGCAAAAAGATTGTCATCTGAATATGCGATCACACATCGTGCGAAGACCTGGATTTGATTGTTACTAGATTGACGCTCAACGGAAGGGAACTTGTGATCAACAATAGAAGGCTATCGTGCAATAAATTTAATTTAAGTGATCTATAAAGCTGTACCATAGTTGTTAGTTTTTCATGAACAGCGGTGTATAAACATGATTGGCCAGCCACGTCTTGGTGGCACGATATACATCGAGCTTGCAAATCCGAAGCAATTCTATAAGGTTTCAATTTGTCCTTATCCCGTTAGTGTTAACGTGAAATAAATTGATTTTTATCCTTTATTTGTTTGATTACTCGTCCTAAATGATTTTATTATGACGTCTGTCCAAAGCTTGGTAAATCTGCGACAAATGAATAAGTACATAAGGCATATTAGACGAGTTAGCTTAGAGATACATTGGTTAGATACCCGGATAGTGCTAGCCTCGCAGAGTCCGTAGACCCAACTTTATGGCAACATCTTAAATGTTCTGGTTATGTTGAAAGCCGCGCCAGGCAAATAACAATAGTCGACTTTGGTTTACTTAGTGTTACGTTATTAGTTATCAGTTTAAAGTGCAAGTGCATAAAGGACTGCGAAATAATTTTATCGAAATCTTCTTACCCTAAATAGATAAACATAGGCGCAACAAAGGCCAGTAAGATTTTATGCTTAGAGTCTTATTGTCATCAAGTCTTAATATTCTGCCAAAAACATTACAAGTCAGTGAAATTCGGTTCTGGCCTAAATGAACTGATATATAACTAATATAGCTTACATACAATAATATTTGAGATATATCGGATGAATTGTAGTTTATGAAATTACTTAGAATTTCGGCAAAGCGCGCGCTGTTTTATTTATGCACATTAGCATTTATTATGTTCGTTATACCAAAGCCGCCCTTCTTCTTTAACAGACTTCCGTAATACCTGCTTAGCGCTTTAACGCGTTGGAAGTAATCTATTTAGGCCTTGTACCTAAATAAATTGCCTATAGTTTCTTTAGGCAGAAGGTTCATGCGCTCTTCGATGAGTATGACCGCTGAATCAGTATCAATGGAAAATCAAGGCAACCTTATAACAGAACTGATTTGATTTTTCATTAGAGTAGTTTTAAGGTCTACACCTAATGTTTTCTAGAGGTTTATTCTGACGCTCAAAAGGTCACGTAACGTGCTACCGTTTCTAAAACAGTGCATCGAATGACTCGGGGAGAAGGAAGGGGTGGCTGTTCGCGGTGAAAAAGATGTGCTTACTCTAGTATCGATATTAAGTAGGAAGCCCGCGAAAATGTGTCCATCGTTTCCTATGAGACATGTTCTGCGCTTTTGTTTCTACATGCAGCAGCAGTAGCAAACGAGATCACCCGTTGAACGTTGAACAGGACAGCGTTTATTTAGTGTGTATAAACTGCAATTGAGCTTCTTTGCCGTGCCACGTTTGTTTTGGGCACCATACTACTGGATCATTCTGCTACGATAGCAGTAACTTTCGATTTGTCGTTCATTTAGTGCTCGTGATTTGGGTGCTGTTTCATGCGGTCTTTGCATCGCGATTCACAACTTTTCTCTCCCAAGCTCGCTTCAGCAAACATTATCATTAGGTAACCTCTGCTTGCGGTATTTAACGTGGTGAGTAGTTCAGGGGTAAAACAATCAACTAATACTAGCATGGAATCGACGAAGCATCAAACACAGACCGATTTTTCTGCGCTACTTCTTTTTTTTCCAATACTCTCTTTTATACCTCTCCGCTTTGCCACTGTCGTCGGCGGCTGACGTCAATGTGTTATGTACACATGTGAAAAAAACATTCTGGACAAACAACGTGAACGCCAGCAGAACGGACGAAGCCAACGACGCTCCTGCTGCACGTACCGGCGATGACTCGTTTCCGTCTGGTAGAAGTGCTTCACTTAGCGCCTCAGCCACTACAGGCCATTCCATCTCCTGCCATCTTATCCGGCTCGTCCGTTTGTCAGTGCGAACGTCGCTTGCTGCAGTTCCCCATCGAACGGCTTCTCTAACTCACGGTCTGCTCGCCAGCGGCAGCAACGACCCAGTGACGAGAGACAGGCGGCAAGTGCCGAAGGCAAAGGCTCCAAAATCAGAAGCCGCGGCGACTGCATGCACTATTTTGTAGTTCTACGAATCGTCGCGCTGCTAGCGACACTGGTTGAGTCGTCGCCACAGGCGCGTTGTTCCGTTGTTGTGGCAACCGACCCAACGTATCGAAGTAGCACCAGCAACGACAACAGAAATAACAACAGAAGCGTCAGTTACTATTAACGTGCCAATGGCGTTGTAACCACTACAGAAACGATACCGATGAGTCTCTGTGAGACTATTTGAATGTGGATATAAGCACAAACTCAGCTAGGAACACTTAGGAGAGTACATTTACGCCGCCAAAGTTTTCGCTGGCGAGCGACTACGACAACAATGTAATGGACGGAGCGTAAAAAGCAAATGGCTGCGGTGCTCGTCTCAGAGCTACATCGTCGGTGTTCATAGCTACGAAGCTGGAAAATGTTTTAGTCGATATTATAAAGGTAATTGAATTAACGGGTGCAAGGCGCGTAGAAGAATGACTTGATAATTAACGAAGTGTGAATATTGACTGGTAGTGTGGGCGCCGAGCATGACTTCGTGAGTCGTGCACGAATGAAAAATTGCAGTTAGCGGTACCGTGAATAGTTTTCTGGGTTTAAGTTTTCCTGAGGCGGTAGGTACTGGTGCTGATTGAATCACTCTCGGTTACATTTGTGCGAAGATGAAGTCGGCCGCACCCCGGATAGCACGCTCTATGAGGCTCGCATATATGTTCCTGTTTATTGTTTCAGGTAAGAAAAGAGAGAACTTTCCTGTTGTTTGGTCAAGCGCTTAAAAAGTTATTACGTCTGTACAGTTGCTTGTGCAATAGACAGTGCATACGCAAACCGAACTTGTTAGATATAGATTTCTCATCTCAGCTTTTAGTCGGGTATGATGGTACCGCGAGTTACCCGAATGAGCCAGGTGATTACTAGTTTGTCGCAAAAGTCGTAGAAATAATAGCTATGAGTGACTTAAGATCGTACATTAAGCAACCGTTACCGTTGAGAGCAAATGTTTGATGACTGTATTACATGTAATGTAAACATTTTTTTTCTGCATAAATACCTGAATGTGTTTTTTAGGTTAGAGAAGAAAACATGTTTACAAGCTGGCCGGGTAACGTCGGCATCGTCTTTTGACGTACGCCTCAGTGATAAACCAACCGGTTTGCACACAACTACGAGGAGAGCACAACTTTGTTAACATACAAAAGCGCCTCATGCGTAAATTAATCTTGTTTGCGAATGAGGCCATTCAGGCACGTGCCTATTGAACAGATTGGATCGCACGAGGCCAACAGCTTCTGCTTCTGGTTTACATGATTGGGTTTCCAAGGATAGATTGCCTTTCTAATTAAATATCTTCTTCACAGTCTTGAAAGATGACTTCACAGATGCTTCAAGTCTTTTAGCCTATTACCCAAAATTTCACTGTTTGTAGAGCAGTCTGATTTTTTGAACATTTTCCTTATTTGTCATAAGTGCAAATCTAAGCTTTCGATCCGTAATCAAACCTAATAGATAAGGTATAATTAACGAATTGATACATAACGGTTCATCTTGTCAGCGGATTCATGTCTCAAAGGAAATACCGCCATCCTTTGGCAAGTGCGAATTGTCTCATCTGAAAGGAACTCATCTTATTTCGTTTACAGAACCTTTATAAGGAAAATTTATAAGATAGGTTTACGTTTATGCGACGCATTTTAATCTAAAAGACACTAGACACTCTGAAACTTACTATGAAAAGTATAATTTTCCTACGATTATTTAGAGAGTAATTGTGGTTTTTGATTAGTTTGGTTTTCGTTTTTTGATAGTCGTGGTGTCGCTTTGTATATTTACAAAATGCAATCTCGCCTTTGGACTTGAAAAATTTGCAAATTCAGTGTAAAAATTGCACCGGACATGTGTGATGCGTACGAGAGGGACTTGAAGGGCGAGAACGCTATCCAAAAGCGACTTGTATTTTTGATACACCCTTCGTCGAGCACACCTCTGCCGTAAGCCATTTATGAAAAAGGATAATCTTCAGATGAAGTCCTCACCGCACGCTAAACAAGTCGCAATTTGTTTTGCATCCACGACGAATCAATGCTGATATATTACTTCGCTTTTATTCAACAAGCCACAGTTAAAGTCCGCACTAGATTTTGGATTTCTGGTAATACAACGACGACGACGACTACGCTATGAAAGAGGTTTTTAACAGTGCAGTACACTTGAGCATCGGTAAATGAGAAATTACGAGCAACCCAATAACTCATGTCCGAGGGTATCAGAAAGGAGCTCTTTGGGAAAAGAAGCCAAACTAATAGAGTTGGGATGAAGACCATCTGGGTGGCTGTCAACAGGTGAAAGTAACGTACAGCCATGGCGTATTTAATATTTTTAACTATTTGCCATTAACTGTTTGGCCTATTTGCTGGTGATTATGTCTCTTTTCGTGTTCTATGTGGCGACATTGTATTCATTTTTCAATTTATTTTAATAATACCAGTATTGCTGAACTCGGAGGGGCACACGCAATCCGACAGAAATTTTACTGGCTGCCACTAATACCTGTGCCGATCGTTTTTCTTGTGCAGAGTCGGTGTTTCGGAAATCGAAGGAATACATTGTACTTCTGTGGAAAATTAGATTTCTAATCTGACTTTTTCAGATATCTCTCTATTGAACTGGTATTAGGGTGACCTTAAAACTACCGTATTATGTCTGTCGTGTTAGATTGTGCGTCCCCGTCCATGCTGCATTGATAAATTATTTCCAACGTTCGTACGTCGTTGTGTATTCTCGCTATAGAAGAAATCGCGTTGTAGCATTGGTATTCTAGGTAAATTTTCATCATAAATCAGTCCGTTACTCAAATTAAATAAAAACGAGTATATTTATAGACCGAAATAGATACCAGGAAAGGCAGCCCTAAGTACTGAACAGCTCGGACAATACAATGTAGGATATTTTGGATGTTGGCTTCCGACAGGGATGTCATCGACAATTCATGTCGGGAACACCGATCGGTGACAACGGTCACCTTTTAGGTCTAAGGATACTAGTGAACTAGCCAATTTTTAGCCGGAAGCAGCATACTTAATAACTGACGGTGCTTATGTTGCTGTGACGGTTCCCATCGCTTTAAAAATATTCGTCTTAAGTCGTAATGCGAACTGGACCTTAAGGGCATTTACTAGATTAGAATACCGTGTTTTCGGAACTTACATAATGATCTAAATTATCTACTTAGAAGTTCAGTCGTTCTAGTTTGTAGGGCCTGATTTTCTTCTGAATATTAAAAAATATCGTTGGCTTTCTAGATTTATGTATGTAGTGTTCGATTAGGCTAGTTATATTTTTATTAGAAAACACTGTCTCTTTTATTAGTAGGACATTTTTTACTATTTTAATTTAAGCAATTTTAGTGAATAATAAAATAGTTCGTCCTGAGTTGAACCGTTTTCCTCGTTTCCTAGAAATGCTCAGCAGCATATGTTCGCCTTTGAGCGCTTCGATTAAAGCTTCGATTTTATATTAGACTACAACAGGATAACAGGCTGTCTTAAACTAGGTGATAGCTTTGTCTTCGCATTTACAACCGCATCGAGGTGTTTCTTCTGATCTATGCGACGCGAACTTCGCAGGCGTCGGATAGCAGACGTTCGTTCTAGCGATCGTAAATAGCCTTTGAAACCCTCTAGTTATGACCTTCAACAAATGTCTTCGCTGTTCCCAGATATCGACATAGGTCCCTTGACACCAATAGCAGTGATCGTAAGGGGCCCGTTAGTTCGAGCGTCCACCAATAGTACGTAATATGTGATAGAACATCGCAGCGACAACAAAATAAACCCTGTGACTATAGAGTAACAATTGCTATTTATTAGTTAGCATCGTAGCTTCCCGTGCTAGTCCATGCAGGTACGACCTACCGCTTGTCGCTTGTAATGTAGAGAGAGTATGTAAAGGTCGCGCAGCTAATTATTCATCTCGACTGAATATGGAGATAAGATAAAAAAGCATGTTTAAAGTACAGCTGATCTGAGACTATTAACCGGCTCAAAACGCCTACATGGGACGCTGTACGGAGACAGTCCCACCTTCGTTTTAGCGATCGAATACTATATATAGTCACTATAAGTCCATAGTGTGACCTGCTGAACTGGCGCCGGCTGCTGCCGGCGCATATATAATTACCTGATGTCGCCATTGAATACGCACACGAATAAGAGTATTGCTTAGCACACAAAACGACCGCACGATGTGCATGCGCGATTATGAAGGTACCGCAACTGACTGTTGTTAGGCTCAGGTGCCGCCGATAGCAACACCAACTATTACTGCTACTTCTGCAACAGTACCAATATCGACATGGGCTCACCGCAGAATTGGGCTGGAGTTTTTGAGCAAGAGTTCCCACAAAGCTTTGGAGAGGGCTTTTCTATGTGGATAGTGAGAGTTTCACGCAGACGATCATCCGTACGTGGGGATTGATTGCCAGTGTAAAAGGGCTCTTGGAAATTGGCTATCAGATATTGGCTCTTATTCGGAAACTAAACGAAATACAGGTGCTACGATTGTTTTGCAAACCAAATTAGAATCGACTGCATTTTTTAACGGTCTGACTTAACAAAACCGTACGTATGGCTTCGAGTATTTTCATACTTATTGTCAGATAAAAGATTACGCTTGCCTTAGTTGACTAAGCAGGATTTAAGCCGGAGCTTAGATCCGAGTCTACCATAATGCAGATCTGACATCTCTCAAGGACATACGTACAGAAGCCTGCGAATAGAAAATCCCCTGTAGCATAGAGAACAGCGTCTAAGCAATGCGGAAACCCAAAGGGCCGTCAATTGAAGCTCAAAATTCTGAGTCTGGATATGGAAATAGATACATCTCGTAATGGCGGCATGATAATGACGAGACTCAACGCTACTGATGTGTACAATCATTGGTTTTGTTTTCAGTGGCACACGCCGCTCTCCTAGGTAACATTACCTGGTGTTCCGTAAGCGATGCCGAACAACTGAAATGCACAGAATTTGCTGAAGCGGTGAGAACTTCGCGCCAATTTAGCGTTGATATGTACTGCGTCCAGGCTCCATCAAAAGATCAGTGTATGAACTTCCTTGACAACCAGAAGGTCGACGTTGTTGAGCTCGATCCCGGCGAAATGTACCAGGGTGGCGGACATCATTCTGTAATCCCGATACTTAGTGAACTTTATGGACCAGGTAAACTGAACGAATACCGTAGGCTCAACTTTCGCAATCATCATTAATCGAGCTAATTTTTCCAGATTGGTTGTAATAGAAGTTTTTGTGTCACGTTCAAAGCACTTCCGAGACATGATGCCATCTATTACTATATTAAGCCACAGAACGGGCTAGAAGAGCCCGTATGTATGAGTAAAACATACGTGCTTGAAGTTGTTCTGACCATTTCATCTTAGAGTGTAGGATACATATTTCCAAATTCGACTATTAGGGTTCTTGTGTTTTTATGATCGTTAAACGCCGCGATATAGATAAATGCCTATGCCTTGCTCTGTTTGTGTTTTAAATTATTTTAGACTCACTTCTGAGCAGCCCATAAAAGCGCCAGTTTTTCATCGTTTTGTCGAAACATATTATTAACTTCAATACGACTAATTATTTTGATAAAGTATATTTTGTGCGTTCTTTCTTCCTTAGGGCACGCTTATAGGGATATTAAATATTAATTATATTCAATCTTCTATAGAAAAGATATTGTATATGTGATAATTCGGTTGTTCATTGTGTGTGCGTTTTGTTTCCGCTCCTTAGAGGAAGAGCCGGGATTCTATTCGGTAGCTGCAATCCATCAATTTGCTAATATTTCGGATCTACTTCATTTGCGAGGTCGCAGAGCATGTTTCTCGTCAGTGGGAGACATGGCCGGATGGGTGGTGCCAATGGCACATCTAATTGAAAATCGTGTCCTTGAGGTAAGCAGTAACGAAATAAGCATATTACTCCACCATCACTTTTCCAAATCGATAAGAGTTTTAACATTTCTTTCAGCTTTTGTAAAAGACAAGTTCATAATTCGTCTCTGTGTAGAAGCTACACTCCGGTAATAAGTTTATTGTGTTTATCATGTAGTTTCAATTGGCTTTAATTACCCTTGTGCATTATTAATTTAAAATATTCGCTCTCGCTTCAGGTTCTAGACTGCAACAATCTCGTCAAAAGTGCCTCGTACTTTTTCGGGGCAAGTTGTGCACCCAACTCCCTTCTGGACAAGCATAACCCGACGGGTAAGTGACCCATATTGTTATGAGCTAGACAGGCAAAGACGTGAATCCGCCTGGTCTTCGATATGTTTTAAACAGACAAAAAAAAGTGCATATTTACCGTTCTCGTTTTGGCAAAACAAATCGGTAATGATTCTTTCCGTTTAGAAGATGTGATTTAGTTCTCGATACCTCTGTTGTCTGTGACTCGAAGCACATGATCTTCTCTGCAGTTATGGTGCAGTTAGATAAAAATATGTAATATATGGCTTTAGCTGATGACGCTTTACGTAATAATTCCGACGGATCAATAGTCGCAAACAATTTGACGGAGGTTATTCCCCTCTAATTATTAAACAGCGATGATTTGACACATTTATTAGTATATCCAAGATCTTGGATTAACTTAGTACTGAACAAACACGTTCTGAAGCGAAAAAGGACAACCAATATTTTTTTATTTTATATCATAAGAAATAATACGTTCCAGTACCAACACGCTCACACTGAGCGAAGTAACAACTCTTGACACGCGACAGACACACACCTTAAATGAGTATTCCATTATTATATATAGCAAAAGATGATGTAGGATTTTTTATCAAGGGTGATTTCTATGATTGTTATAAATCTCAGTTCAACAGGAACCATCGGGACGTTCTGGTTGAATTTATTCAGAAACGAGCTTCTGAATGTTGCCGACTCAAACTCCCTATAGTCAGCTTTTCATTCGATAGTCGTTAGAAGGGCCAGTTTCGCCGGTGTACACAAAAAAAAAATGCCACAAATTGGAAAGGACCTAATGTGCCTGCGCGGATAAAATGGACGCTTTCTAACAGCCCCCTTCGTCTCTTTTTCCTTAAGCTGCTTCTTGGTTTTTTGCACAGATCTGTAAGTAATGATAGGCCGTTCGCTCCGGTAGCGGCAGTCACCTTCTGCCACTTCAAGCGTCGTCGACTGAGTGAACTCGCATTGTCAAAATGTGACCTTTTTTTTGTCGTTGTCTTTGTTTGTTTTTTCTGATCACTGTTTACATAACCTATTAATACGTTCCCGTGTGTTTCGAGAAAAATGTTCATACATAGAGCATCCTTAGAGGTGGAAAAAGAAATCGCTTTGCTAAGCCCTAACGAAGCCTTGGCGAACAGTAAGATTCTATACTATCGTCAAATCGATACAACTTTTCCAAACTTCAGTTACGTTAAAAGAGGGAGCTACTGCCGAGAATAGTTGAGCTGCTAATCGAAACCTGTACTACTTGACCGCTCGCTGGTTTAACTTAGCAACTCCTAATGGTAGTAGTAGTAGCAGTGAGACTATTCCGTGATACAGGAAACTATGCTGTTTAGAAGAAAGGTTCAAATAGCTAAGCCTTAATGATTCGTGTGGTACGATTGTTAAATAGGCGACAACCCGCAGAAAATGTGTGAGATCTGTGCGGGTCGGGGCGGAGACCGATGTTCAGGGAATGACCCGTATGCTAATTACGATGGAGCTTTTCGCTGTCTTGAAAAAGACGGTGAAATTGCTTTCCTTAAACACACGACGATTCATGAGGCTACCCTTGACAATCCTGCACTGAAATCAAGGCAAGTACCTGTTTTACACGTAAATAAGCGTGACACTTGTATTAGGAAGGGCAATCTGCGTCGGATTGAGTGGGTTGTCAAGGCCGTCAATGATCAGAATGACGAACTAGATGCTATAGACGGAAAACAGGCACGCACGTGCTGTTTCAGTCTAATGTGACTATTTAGCATTCGGGTATTTGCTTTCGCTAATGGCACGGAACAGCTGAGTCTGTTACTTTGTCTCAGGGCTTCGCATTTAGAATACGTCCTGCTGCTATAATCTGACGAGGGCTCTGTTCGCGTTTAGGCATTGGAATTTAGTGAGCAAGTTAACCCTATTAAAAGAACGACTGCTTTGTTATCGCATGATGTAAACACAATCATTTGTAAGAACGAGTTTTTTCGAGCGCAGTAACTATGATAAACTGCACTCGAACGTCTTACTAACATAGACTTATTTAGCGAAAAACAACAAATAGGTAATCGGCGCTCAGATATAGGTGTGTACAATGCACCACATAAAAATCGTGTATTTGTCTATTTTTTGCTTGGTCTTTGCCTTTAGGTATCGCTTGCTCTGTCCTGATGGCCGCGTAGAGATGATAGATCGTCACGACAACTGCAACTGGGGCTTTGTCCAGCCGAATGTTATCGCTACGACGTCCGAGACGTCGAGTGATCGGCGAAAAATTATACAGGATTTTATGATCGTAAGCAGCTATCAAGAGACTAGTATTCGTTTCAACTTCTTACATTACTTTAGCTTATATGTAGCACGGAGGAAAAGTGGAAAGCTGTGTTTTTTAGCGTAAAATATTGCCAATCATTCAGTTACGTAGGATCTCGTTAGCTAAATGTTTAGGATGGTTAAAAAGAGTCTCAGGCCGACGGGATTTACCGCTGCACATAGACAGAAAGCATGAGAGTATGAGAAAAAAAAAGCACCCTTCAACGATTATTTTTGCGCTCTGTTTCAATAGTAAAGCAGTTGTACATAATGACAGGTTTTGCAATTCGAAATATGTACTTTACTTTATGAAAAAGCATTGCATGCTCTCAGCGGCTAAGTTTAACTAAAAAGTAAGTTAATTTGTCTTTGACCGATACAATTCCAGCAAGCTTTGCGGTTGTTCGGGAAACCTTTGCCGAACGCCTTTAACTCGCAGTCAGGTTTCAACCCTGGTGATTTCAACGGTAATCCGAATAGAGACTCCAGCTTCGACAGTATTACTTCGTATACAAATACAGAAAACCAGCTCAACAACAACCTTTACCAATCGATAAATTCGTACGTATAAAATCTAGTGAGATAGAATGTCTTGTACCTTTCGCCTGCTCTAATAATAACGTTGACTTTTCAAGTGGATTTTAGGACACAATGGTATCGTTTGTCTAAAGTAGAACGTAATTAAATATAGCTACCAGTAATGTTTATATATATAATAGTATAATAAAAAAAAAAAACACATTAGGAAATGATATTGCTCTTACAAACATCAGTTGAAAAAAACTTGCCTCATAGATCGAATAGCTAACGGCAATAAATCCCGTGTTTCTTTTTAAGCTTACGGAATCGCCAAATTCGGCGAGCGCCACACCACCGGTATACACTGTTCAATGTTTTAATATATATAGCAAATATCATTCTATACGTTAGGTATAAAGACATCATTTTGTAGTCATTGCAATTTGCAAGTAAAGGTTCAACTCCCCAATGAGATCTGACCTGATTGTAGAGACAGAAACGCGAGCGTCGCGCATGGTTGGCAACGACGTGAGAGTCATTAGGGAAATAATGGTCAGTTGGAAGGTTTCTGCAATAGCAGGTCCAGTGGCAACCCGTGAACCTACGTTTTTGGATTGTGACCTTACGTCCTACCTTAGTAGACAAATGTTTGTAGTTGAGCCCATTCGACTACTTTGTTCTGATGTTGCTTCCAGACCTATTTTGACCAAAACTTTATCTGTTTTGTACTTTTAATAAGTTGAATAGAGAAAAAGATATTTATATGTTGTGCTCTGCTGCTTCTATGTAGCGCTAAAACGCTGTGATATATATATATATATATATATATATATATATATATATTGAAGTCATCTAAAAAAACCGCATCACGTTATGCATGGATTTTGTTAACTTTAGTATCGGGCAGCTATTATTTCAATCCTGTTAACGATTAGTATTCAATTTTACCTTGACGATCCTCAAATGAAAGAAAACCGAGACAACAAAATGAAAACAACTTTATGAGAGTACACATTAAGCAAGGATTTTCCTTTTTGAGCTTTTCTTCGTCCGAATGGTTGTTGATGACTGTTGTTATAGTCCACGCCAATGTCAAGATACGCAAGCATGCCTATGAATTATGTCACGTTAGTTTACATGACCCTACCAGAGTGATGTGCTCATTTGGTCTGTGTTTATAACTTGATTCCAACACTCACATCGTACATTCTATATTTGTTGTTTTTCTATTCAACTGGTACCGTACGATGGCCTGTTTCCCATCTGGTTGAAAATTTACAATCGTCCTGCCAATATCAAACTGTTACTCCTTATTGTTTCCCTGTCATGAGTAGATCTGAATTCCGACCTCCCTGGGAGTCACGCCTGCCAAAAACACAGTTTAATCTGTTCCGGAAGTATGGGAACGGATCGAATCTACTACTGCAGGATCGTACGACTCGTTTTATACGTCTCGATGGTCAGAGGCAGACCTACGCAGGCTTTTTAGGCGCTCACATCGAGGTGTTCCAGCAGCTGGGGAAATGTCCCGTACCATCCGCCGGATTTTGTGTCGTGTCTTCTCAGGAGTACGACAAATGCCAACGGATGCGAGTGAGTAGGCTCAATAAAAACTGCAGTGAAAGTCGCGGATGCTTTCTCCTAAAGAGAGAAACGGTGTCAACTGTGCGCGGAACATTAGCTATATGTACACTATAGATATGTTCGAAGATGATTTGTAGCGAAACCCTGGAAAGCTAAAGGCAGTGTTGGTGCTCAGGATTTAGGCCAGTTGATAATAAAAGCTACGGCCGCTAATGATGTCTTTGAAAGCTGTAACCATTTTCATTCGAAGCAATCTTAAGTGAATTAATAGCGAAATTATAGTATCTCGTCGTACAGATCCGTGTATTAATTTTTTGCGTTTAGACCTTATTGCAAGCAACCTAATCTTCTAGTACAGTCAACTATTATTTGATCTCGAGGTGAACCTTGCAGATAGATTCTTGAGGTCAGGCTGAGAGCAATAATAATTAGGGCGTCGTTGCACAAAATAGGCAACTGGAAAATTTTTCTTAGCTATTAAGTATTACTTGACCAACAACTACTCTGCGTTATAAAAAAAAAAGGAAAAAGCAAATGCAAATGTGAAATTATGGTACATAACCAGCCGAACACGTGTTTAAATGCTACGATTTTGACATCTCACAAAAAAGAAACTTATTCCAAGCAGACTTCAGCGTATCCAAAGTATTTAATTATATTAATCATTATGTCACTCGCTTTGGGTTTGTTCAATGACCCCCAATAACTATCCAAGTTCGACTATTTGATTTCTGCTGAAAATCGGTTGCAAAATCTAAACATTATGGGCTTCGATGAGCCTTTATCATTTTGTATGTTTTATATGTAAAACCAGATTTTGTCGCCAGTCTCGGCCTGTACTCATTGATCTTCCTATGGTAGAGTAAGTGTAGTTTATGAAATCTACAACAAAGTCTATTTGTAACGTCCATGTTGGACAATATGAGCGTTGAAACAAACTTTTTATAGACCTTGGATTACTGCAATAGATAGGTCGATAAATTTATCAATCCTTGTATGCTATGTGATGACATTGTTTTTATTATGCATTCATTTTATAAGTGTACGCATAATTCGATAGATTGTTTTATACATTGTGTACATTTCTACGTAACTCAATCAGTTTCTATCTGTCGTGCTGATTATTAACCCGTTTCTAGTCGGCTTTCAAGGCGCAGAACCTTAAGCCGGACATCCACTGTGTCCTGGCACCTACCCAACTCGTCTGTATGCACATGATACATCAGGTAGGTACCATTGAGCTTCTTTGATTTGTGCAAGGACACCCATACTAGTCATTATTGTATACGAGAATGTTTTTGTCCTATATTTCTCTATGGACTTTTTTTTGCAGACACGCAGTTCAAGGCGTATATTGGTGTACATGTTACGGCCTTTCCCCATGCATTTACTATTCTTTGTTTGCAGCGAACAACAAAAAAATTACGATCACGCTTATTTTTGTTTATCTCATGGCACTTTGTTCGTTCGAAATGACACACCGTAAAAAAGCACTTATGTAAAAATAATAAGAGAATGCGTTGACGCTCTTGACGCGTTAGAGCTACCAGCCCCTATTTACGAAAACTTCCTAAACCCAATTAATAATTATGAGGGCTGTGTTTTTGCTTAAAAAAATAATAGGGTAATGCTGATTTGGCCATGTTCGAAGCCGGAGACATCTATCGTGCTGGTTCTCGTTTTGGTCTCGTGCCTATCCTTGCTGAACAGTATAACCTAGATGAGCCTTATTATTACGCTGTTGGCGTTGCTCAGCAGAAGGACAAAGACACAGATCTGCTTTACCTTAAAGGTAAGAAAGAATCGCATTACGATGTGTGATGATGATGATGTGTGAGTAAAGCTTTTGTCTAAGTAATAACGCGTATTCAAATCTCGTCGTATACGGGTAATCGCTTTGTGAACATGGCTTTACTGGCGAGTCCTTGATAGAGTGACCTGAACATAGTTTTATTGGTTAATATAAAATGACGAGCTTATTCTCCGTGCACCTTATGGCTCTGTTGTTGTTAACGGCAGGCCGTCTGGCGGTCACATGTGAATTCTGAAGCATATTAAATGATAAAGCTGATAATAAACAAATAAATATATACAATACGTTAGGAGAACAGACATCCAGGACTTCTGTTCTCGGTATTATTATCGAATGGTTCCGCTTATATTGTTCTCAATGTTGTAATTGTCTGACTCTGCGTCTTGATTGAATTAGTTGGCTTCTTTGGAATGAACCAGGATTGCGTTTGATCTAAGACTACCAGTTTTTATTTACTGATACTTTCTAAGCGTTTCTAGTTATTAACCTTTGCCTGTGTTGTTTGTGCAATATAAACGTCCAATGGTGTTCGTACCGTTATGACCATCGGCTGTCGTCAATCGCTGTTCTCCCGCCTACGTCTATTATAACAAAGGTAAACGAGTCTGTAGTGGGGGAATGTTTACTGCAGTTGGTTACGTGATCCCGTTGGCGTTCTTGCTTACCAACGACCGCATGAGGTCTTACGGCTGCGACTCCGCCCGGGCAATGTCTGAGTTCTTCGCTAAAGGATGCGTACCAGGCGCGCTTAACAAGGTATGGGTCTCGCTGTGCGAACGTTGGGATTATGAAGGGATTGCCTGTGTGTACAAGGAGTAATCGTATACAGCATCGAGGTAGAAGGTCAGAACTATCAGAAAATCTGATACTGCTATAGACAGACACAAAGGCCTTTGCGTGATTTGTTTTATATGTGGCAACCACCTCTAAGAAGGCTTTCAGTGATATTTGTATCTCTGTTAGGATGTAAGTCTCTGCTGATAGAAAAACGCTGTGGAGAATTAGGCCTGTCAAACGAAGTCTATTTCTGTTGAAAGTAGAAGCACGTCTTTGTTACCTCTGTCAGCTTGAGTCAAGTTAAAAAAACATTTGCTTCGATAATTATCGCAGCAATAGTTGAGAATTTGTAGAATATTTTTACAGACTATAAACATTGGATTTTCAAAAAAAAAGAACTACATTTTTTAATGCGTATTGAGCTTGTCTAAGGGAAAAGATTAAGAATTTCTGAAAAATATTTCTGCGTCCACGTTGTTTACTTCTTCGTGTCTCATATATATATATATATATATATTTACGTAAAATTTCCCAGATCAAATTCACCTTTATATCAAGCAATTTGGACCTGCAATAGTGACATAGTTGACGCCGTGGCTTTGAATACCTGCTACATGATAATTATAACATGGTAGAGGAATACGTTCGCTAGGGAAGTGAAATAATGGAAAGTTTACAAAATTACTAATATAGCTAGACTAAATAACTGAAACGGGGTAATGAGCTGACACACCAAATGGACGGAACGGCTTACGTGAGTTACGGGCAGAATACGTGAGTTTGTCCATCGATCTTGCTGTTCATGAAAAAGCAACATGCAGTCTATTTTCAAGTAACGAACTGCCTACAAATAATGGAACTATATTTGTTTTGTGCATTTGTTGATATCTTCATTTTTACATGTGTATTACAGCCGCAAGCTAATCCGGATAGAATACTCTTTTATAGAATCCCGTGTCTAAATTGAATCTCGAGACAAACAACATCGTATGAAACTGTACCTCGAAACGCGTATCATACAAGCATAATATATCAATCATACTCTTTGCGAAGATTTCGTATTTCCTCTGCTTTTATTTCTGTAGGAGTTTGCCGCGCCGCATTCAAATGAGTACAAAAGCTATCGTAACCTATGTGATCTTTGCCATGGCGAGAGTCGAAACTATTGTAGCCGTGACGCGTCTGAACAATTCTATGGACACTCCGGGGCATTCCGCTGCCTGGTCGAGGGCGGTGGGGAGATCGCTTTCGTAAAGCATACAACCATCTTTGAGAATACTGCCGGACGCAATCCATTGCCCTGGGCTAGAAACGTGGCTCCGGAGGACTTTGAGTTGCTATGCCGGGACGGAAGTCGTCAAACATTCGACAAGTACAAAGAGTGAGTAGCATTTTTGTAGACACACTTCAGTCTAACTAGTTACTATCTATAGATAGTCACTTACCAAATGGCCAATAGTCCAGACGCAAGTGAAATCATCGGTGCGCGGATAAACTCGGAAAAATGAATCAAGTGTTGCGCAGGCAAACTTTTGAGTTCATGACGTTTGATGAATCTAGCATATTCGAGGAACCTGTGCCCTGACAATTAACATATTACCTACTAACGTTGTTGTTATTCAACATAGTACTTTAAAGAGAAAGATCGTTTAGATCAACGTCGAGCAGTGCGTATACTAATGTGTCCTGTATACTGCTACCGGGCCTGCTCATTAAACGTGCCGTCCGCCAGTGTGACACCTTTACTAACTCTAACGTAAAGCACAATTTATCGTTGAAAATGCTTTTAGTAAGGTGCTTTTGATTCTAATTGGCCGTACGGCCAGCAGTGGTCATTCATGTGATCAGTTCAAGTCTTTCATGAACGAGTGGCTTTGTTCTGACTACGGCTTTCATCAATAGAAAAGGCGTTATCATTCTATGAGTTGGGTGACACGAAAATGGATACCTTCGGATTTCTGTCCAGAGTACAGTCGGCCTGAGACGTGACCGAAACGCGTACCGTGTCAGAACCTGGCGCAGAATCACCTATAAGGCTACGAAAAGGAGGCAAAACAAACAACACCGCCACCATGGGCGCATCACGCGATGCCGTTGGCTATTGTTTTTTTGAATCGTCGTCTCGCTTTTCCCGTATGCAAACATCCATTAGAGGTCGAAAATGTATGGCTTACTAAACGTGCCGCTTGTGAAACACCAGCGCGCTGAACCCGCCATGGCGACGTGCATTGTCATGATCTATTACGTTTAGCTGACAACGATTTTTTCTGTCTGAGGATTGCAAAAAGAAAAAACTGAAACATCATATATAAGTAGCGTTCACACAAACTGTGTAGCATGTGGGATCATTTCTATTGTAGTTTATTTATCTGGTCCAATAATAACGTAATGGATAGTATTAAGTAAATCGCCAAATGAAGCTTAAATTTATACAAGAAGAAATAGCTGAGTTTTCATGTTAAGCTTTACAAATCCAATATTCAACAGATTAAAAATGAGTAGGTTTAAAAGCATTTGTACGCGGATCCATTTTGAAATACTGCTCTGATACAGTAGCGAGATAGCCTATGCATGACAAGGACGGTAGTGCGCGTCTGTTGTTTACAATGCAAACATCATCCAACATGTCACTGCTAATAGAAAAAAAAAAAAAAAAGACACGTCAATATCGCCAAAGCCTAAGATCATGAGTTTTCTGTAATTATTTTTTATAGTGATACACCTGCTTTGCTATGCTTCAAGTGTACGCATTAAATACTTTCAGCTGTAACCTCGGAAAAGTCGCTGCCAACGCTATGATGACGTCCAAACACAAACTCACTCAGGAGATCGAAGCCTATATCGCGCTGTTCGTTTACGCACAACAACATTACGGGTCGAAATATAGTGAAGAATTTACTTTCAAGATGTTCGTCTCGGAGTACAATCATCGTGACCTTATATTCCAGGTAGAACTTTCATGAATCATATCCTTGTCAGATTCCCTTGAATCCGATACAAACGCTGTAGACCTATCAGTATACCTAAATGTTGTATTGTTTTCCAGTTTGGTTTATATGTAGAGCTCGTAAACAAGCTATTACCGTTAAATACTGCGAGTAAGAAATCGTGCTTATACTAAGCTTTTGTCCTTGTTTGTTAATAATACCCCGGGCACGACAGTGATATTTATGATATATTAATCATATTTTCAAAAACCTCTTCCGTTTTTGTCATAGGACTCAACACAACAGCTTCTCCCGATAGTTGAGCAAAAGCGCAACTACAGAAGATATCTTGGCCTTGACTTCCTTAGCGCCATTCGAGTTGTCGATTGCAACGTTATAATTAACGGGGCTTTCCCGCTTTACAAGGGAACTTCGGCCTACTTGATCACGGCGCTGTTGATCCTCGTACAATTGTTACTGCTCACAGTGGGACGGATAGCATAATTACACCGTCCATCTATAGGCGCCTCTATAGGAAAACTACGCAGAAGGACAATCACCTCTCCATTTCAATATAACGTTGCTACCAGTGCTGTAGAAATACACACCCATCGTAACGTGTACGTGTAAAGTTATACAGTAAGTTGAGAGCATTTGCTTAGCTGATCTTTCATAGGGATGAAATGGAAAGAATTAAAGAAAGGAAAATTGTTTGTGTGAATGTACCGCTATGAAGAGTGTATAAAAAAACGTGATTGATTAACACTTTCATCGGGTAATCTAACGTCTAATGCTACTGTATTTATTGGAAAGGCAAATGCAGAACTCTACGCATGTTCCCCATCAGCAGACAAATCAACTCAGCCAGAACCATGAGTTTTTCTAGAACACGTTCTCTCTATATCGCTGTGATCTTTTTGAGAGCAACCGTAACACTGCACGAAACCGTAGCGGCGTTTGAAACTGTTTTTCTAGTACAGACGCGCCGCTCGATACCGAATACGGAACACGCTTAGAATGAAAAGTCTGAACAAAACGATATACCGCCATACTTTTTTGATTGCCATTAATTTTTAGTATTTTTGTAGAACGCAGTTGCACGTACATTGTTTCTTTAACGCGCAAGCGTAAGATGTAGACGTAACTGTCAAATACGTAAGCACCGGTCCTGCAAGGTGAACTTGGTTAACTTTAAGTAGAAAAATGGTTAACTTGTTCATCAGCTCTGTGCTTACAGTGAGCCAGTAAACACCGTATAAAATATCATCGTCCTATTTTTAAATCGGAACTAAGTTAATGACGCATCCATTGTGGAAAGGAGCAAACGCGGATTTTTTCGCAATCGTCGATGTTTTTTGTGCTTGATTTTTCATTCTATTTGTTTAGTTGCTATTCGTTCGAAACGACGATTGGAAATTTTCCAACTGTCGGGCTGAACTAGAGAACACAGAATATACATTTGCGGGGACTCGCAAGAGCGGCAAAGCTATAACAAAGAACGTTTTGCAATTAATTATCCTACTACATTAGAGTCTAGCGATAATCCCTGTTTTTTTTTTTTTTTCTTTCTTGCTGCGTCTCTTACATAAGAAAAGGATAATACATGAATGTTATTATCTTATCATAAGCGTTATGTCCAGCACTGTCGCGCTTGAGAACTTTGGCCTCAGTCTAAGCTAAGAAAAACATTACGAGACTCTGTTATATAATTATTATCACTGGAAAAAGATTCAAGGTAAATTGTGTTTCATCCATGTGTTTATTTTATGAAAAATATTTTTTTAGAAATGTTATTATGATACCGTGTTGATGAGATTGCTATGACACTACAAATATTTTTCAAATGTAAAAACTAACCTTCGACGTACCACTGTTTCATTAGAATCAGGTAGTAATATCTGGAATCATCTCAACGTAGCGATACTAGGTGACACTGAAAGAGCAGATGGATTAGTGCGGATGGTGAGAAATGATTGAAGATCATTTAGAAGATAAACTCTGGCAAAGCTAAAATAATTCGGTACGATTTTTTTAAATTTAGGTATTGATACATAATCGGATCTTAAATGTAAATAAACGAACTCTTCGTCCGTCGTACCAAGTCAGTTGCCTTATGATACGTTTTTCATCCTATAATACGCTACCGTAGTTAATAATTATTGAATTTCATATTAGTACGGTATAATAAATATTCATTTGATGTTTAGAGGACGTTCAGCAATATTATTAGTAATAGTAATAGCAGCTAGAAAAAACTTGCAGACATCATGAAACGAGCGACAATTCCAATAAACCTAAAATCAGAGCACTTTTAGCCAATTGGACACATGCAAAAAAGAAACTCAACTGTCCGTGGTGTCGATACATGTAGGAGCAACGAAACGTTGGTGCTCACCTTGGTAGCTCTTGTAGAAGCAACGCGATACTTTTCAGAAGTTGCGCGTTATAGAAGTTTGTAGATAACTCTTGAGAACTTATAACAAGCGAAAACCATTGAATTCAGCTATTCTTTTTTAATTGTCGAAACAAACAATAAAGGATATCAACTAGGCTCGGCAGGGATCTACCTGTGTAGATTGATTACAATGTCAAAATCACCTAAGTGATATACGAGCTTGATTTTCGATTAAAATATATAGTATGCCTAACTGTATAAAAAAGTTAGTCTAAATAAAAATTTCTAAGGATTACCCGCTAGCCTTTAAGCTTACGTTAGGTCGTTATTACAGTTAGGTTAAGCATAACTTCTTTGAGCAAAAACACAATGCTATTTCAAAGGAACAACCTCACATGCCATCACGGGACGTTATTACTGTTTAACGTTAAAGCGCCTGAAAGAGGTGCCGATCAAAAAATCCCTTATGTATGTATGTATATAGCACAAAGCAAAGGTAATTTGATCAAATATAGTTTTTATGTATATCCAGCGTTGTGATGTACTTCTGCTTAGACAAAGACGCCAACGACCGCATGAACGAACTCAAGTTCCTACTCCAGTCTAAATCAGAATCTAAAAGCCTCCAAGTTTAACCACACAGACACAGGTCACTGATCCTCGAGCCAGCGACAACACGGCGGACTCTCGCCGGCGGCTTAAGGATGAGATGATATACTTTCGCAATCTTGACATCTTTGAACGGCAAATATTTTTTTTAAGAATATAGAGTGCCGTCCGAAATGTCTTTTTGCTAAATAAACTTGGGGCGATATAGCAACGGTGGTTTCTTGGTCTCTCCATAAAAATATATGATTTATTTGTAAGATCTGAAATCTTCTCCATTCCTAAATATTCTCGGTGGTCACGAATTATTGTACAGCTTGGTATTCTGTGGTTATGATCTTTGCAGCGAATGCACATTTGTTTTGAAATGTTTACGGTGAGTTACGTGCATAGTCAAGGTCTCGGTACAGAAGGTATGCATAGTTATTTCAGCTACCGAATCGCTAAAATTGTAGCTAACGGATGCCAAACCTCAAGGGGTGCTCATATTGCGCAGAGTCAGTGGAACCTGCTTTCTCGTTTGTGGCTCTACCTACGCTTTCAGAAAACCTAGGTGTCGAAGTTAAATTAACCGAAATGCGTCGCATCTGTTCGATTGGCCAAAGGTCCAAATCATCACAGAGAAAGCCTGTAAGCGTAAAAAGGATCCTGTGGTCAGGCACAACAGCGAAACGAAGCCGCCTACTACGTGCCCCTAGTTTACCAATTCAGAAAGCTAAGCAAGTGATCATATGGTATGTAGAGTTTTACCGCCATACTTTGTCCAGCCGGACTTTTTCGCTGTCTTCGAGGCCAATTTTATTAACGCACTAAATTGTTAGTGTAACGCCTAGGGTTCGCCATATTGACTCTCGTTGTGAACAAGGACACACAAAAATGTGCCCTTATCAAGGACTTAGTACACCGTATAGTAGTGTGAGTCTGAAATATTTTCAGGCATATTGAATGTGTACTATACATGTTCTGTGACAAACATTTTCGGAGCTATTTTATTTCTTAAAAAAGATTGTATTGGAAATCTGATAAAATCTACAGCAAGATCATTGAAAGGTATAACATTACATTGAAGCTAAAATTTATTTATCCATTAACCTACGGTTGATCTTTATTCTAGCGAGATGTTACGAAAACGAACTTTTACGGCGGAACCTATTTGCATTCCTTTTTTGGCCACCCTCAGCAGCTGTTTGGGTAAAAGATAATAAAGATAATTATATTTGGCAACGGTGATTTTCGCCTTGGCCTTTTAGCGTCTCATTTCGCTGTGCTTTGCGGGATTAATTCTAGCACAATTTAGATAATTACGTAATTACAGTCAAGACATGGCATCTCTGTGGGACGAAGAGCCTTTTAAAGCAATTGTTGCAACGAGATAGATGTTGATTGTTTTGTCAGTTTGCCGCGAAAGATCGCTACCAGCTGATTCATTTGATTATTTTCAGACTCTGTTGTTCAAACGCTGACTCGCTGAGCCCCTTAAACTATTCTCCTGTATGTTAACACGTCGACAACTTTTCAGTGTGTAAGTGGTATTTGGTTGCAAGACAGAAATTCTGGGGCAACCTTACGGCCCATATCCCATCTAATCTGCATCGATGACAATATAGCTAGTATGCTGTTTACGGCGCAGCCGGGTATGTGGATTGTCTGTTAGTTTATAACTTCCTTTACATATGTAATTTTACGTGTTTCGTAGATAGATGTTCGATTAGTTTTGATCATCTTTACAATTGATGCCCACATTAATATAAGTTGCACATTGATGAAAAACATGGTACTAGTACGGGGCGTTCAGAATCTGTGCACACGTATTTGGCTTCGCACCCCTCAATCAGATCGTTTCGACGGATTTGTACTTGGTTAATTAAGCGAGGATGGTCTGAACTAGCCGCCAAACCGTTAGGTTTAACTTGCTGCTTCGTTAAAGCCCTCTAACCAGTTGCAGCACTGGTTAATTTCACATTGTTTGCACCTCATGTAACTTTTCGGTATCGTGTAGATAAACTAACTTGAGGCTCGAATATCTGCGGCCGCGTCTGCACAATGCTTACGCATTTACAATTAGTGACGTGTTCAGTGGCCCCTCAAGTAGGATCCAGAAGGCTGAAAATAATTTGCACGGTAAATAAGCCTTGTTTTTCTATTTAACAAGGATGTCTGGTCAACTTAACCACCATGAAATGTTCTAGGGCCAAAGTCTCGTCGAAGCTTGTGGAGAAAGGTCAAGGTCATCCTGTTAAAACAATTTCGTATCGCTGATAAGGATTCGAGGAGATAATGTGCGTCGAGGCATATGGCTATTGCGATAAGGAAAAGCGTCGATTATTACCGCTCCTAATTTGAGCCGTCACAACCTGATCATTTGCATCAAATGTTTCATTGCGAAATTTTGGGTTTGTATCTCCGATCGCAATCAGGCATTGTATTTCAACTAAGAACCTTACTGCTTATTTATATGGCTTACAGCTTGAGCTTTAACCCGACTACTGAACTGGGATAATTAACAGACGAAATGCAACACGGCTAGACAAGCCTCAGCTGTTGTAGGATGTGTCTCCTGCAGGTCGCCCAATTGAAAAGACGTCACCTATACTATAATCAAATTAGCATTGACTAAATAATGTTTTTTAGGCCATTATTTTTAGGCCTTCAGCATTACGCAAATATCTTATCACTAAGAAGGGTACGTTCTAACACGATATATAAAATGAATCGAAGCAAGCCTACTTTTTGTTCTGCTTGTAAAACCGCCGAACTCTTAAAGGCATTAATTGCTAAGGAGTAACAGATACATTTCTTATGATATAATACCTGTAATAGCAACACGCTGCAACAAAAGTATATGGCTGCTAAATCAGAGAGATATGTCTTTAACCGCCAGGCTATAACGTGAAATCTCTGAAGTTTGTAACCGTTTGTACGAAAACGACACGACCTCCACGCATTGTGAATTTCATGCGTATCACGTAATGAGCGTGTCGTCGATAGGCGGGGGCCCCTGGTGGGCCTTACGTTATCACGATTGGTACCTATTGTGAAAAACTAACGGCACTGCTGCGGCCATAGGGAGAAGATCCCAGAGAAAAGAATTACATTAGGAGTTGTCCTAAGGTGTTAAAGTCTTCTTTTTTTTTTCTGTCTGTTTTTGACCATTTGTGCTATATCAGTAATTAACAGCATCTTATTAGACCTGCATACGCGGACAATCAACCAAAAAGCTCAGCCAGTAAAATTGTGTTGTACTTTTTTTTATATGTAGTGATTCGACGGTCATTGTTTGTATATGTATAGCGTTAATAACGACTGTGCGAAGCATTTTTTTCGCCAGCTGAAGCTGCCAACAAACCCGACGGAATGACAATAATGAAAACGTCGGACGAAGATACCTTTAATCATAGAACGAACATCCTAAAATCTTAATTGCTCAGTATTGACAAGAGCAATGTTCGACAGAGTTTGGAGATGTTCTAACGGCAATTTTGATTTTTTCTTTAAAAAGAATTGCGCTTTACAACGTACAAAGCCCAAAGTATTTTCTGTGGGGATTCAGTTAGATCTTTTTACATAACATGTTTATTTTTTAGACACCAACAACTGTGGGGAAGCAAACAAAACCTCAAAACTTCTCTCCCTTTGCCTCTCTCTCTCTCTCTCAAATTTTTCAAACTCCCAATTCTTTCCCAAACTCAAACCGGATTGGTGTAATACTTAGTAAACGTGTTGTTAGTAGGCATCAATATAGAATCAACGAGCGTTTATAGTCTTTCAATCAGACGCCCATTTCCTTTTCGTATTTTCATTATATTCCATAATATAAAATAGATGGAGTAGTAGTATCAGCAGCTGGACTTCTCTATCTTCCAAAGTGACCGACTAGCCATTTCCGCCGCGTGTGATAACCTTGTTCAGCGCAATGTGAAAGTTAACATTAGTAACTTCATTCGAGTTGAATCTTACGTACTGCCAAGAACCTCAGGGTGGTCTTGGCTGGCCACGCAAATGATCATAGAAAGCGAACGACTGCCTTTATGCATTCTGCGGCCCGAGTTAATAAGTCTTATTAGTTCGACTTGCCGTGGACGTCATAGTGAAACGTCGTGTTTTTGTTGGTCCAAACAGTAATTATCTCGTTGCGAAAGGTGGCGGCAAATCTAAGGAGCATCGCTGTACAAAGGAATAATTTTATTTGATGTAAAAAATTACCGTCGTCATTTTATGTTAACTGGCAGTAGGGAAAAATGAAAGCATATGTAAGAACAACGTATGCGGTTGAACTGCAACCAGAGCTAGCAGCACAATCAAACTTGTAGCTCAGAGAGCACTGTTTAACTATCTTGCATAACTGGATGGGTTCTATGGATGCATAGAACATTAGTGTTTTTTTTTTTGATTTTTGAGCTATGTCGGTTAGTTATTTATTGGCCACCTTTTATCCGTATAAGGAAACTAAGAGAAATCTGAGGAAACTAAGAGACAATACGCGATTGATCAACTCAACACCAAAGCTGACGGTACG